GAAATTTTTCTTATATTCAGTTGTCTGACGCCATTTGTTCTTCAGTTCAACTAATTTTCTCTCTCGCTTCTTCAAATTTCGTTTTCATTTCATTTTTCTTAAATCTATTATTTAAAGCAACTAAAATCACAACGAACGTGATGTGGGAAACTCCCTATTGACTGCGGGCCGCTTCTGGCAGATTCAGATCGGATACATCAAGGGGGTAAAAGCACCACTTCATTTCACTTCACTTCACTTCACTGCTGAAACGGCGCCCCTGATGGGGGAGGGAAGCAAGGAAGGGAAAGTACCATTTCACCACTTCCGCTTAACTTGAAGTGAACTTGAAGTGATTTTTTATTGTTTCGACCGTTTCAGCAGCGTTTTACCTAGATGAAGTGAAGTGAAATGAAGTGGTGAAGCGGTGCTTTTACCCCCTTGGGATAGTCTGTCGACATCGCAACTTGTGCGCAGCACAATTGCTCTCTAGTTTATTTAATTTGTTTGTTGCGGCGATGTAATTGATTCTCTATGTGAATAACAGTTATTCCATCATTGTAGTGGTTTGTTAAGGTTGACCGGTCTTTGTACGTAGGCATACACCGGCTAATAATCGATGTTAGGGCATTCAGCAAAGTCGTTCCAAATCAGTTATGAAAAAACTTATCAGCGCAGACCTTGGATCTAAAGTACTAAACTCTTCCATTCAAATGTGATGAAATAAGGTGGGGCTGGATGAAACCTATGCCTTGAGTGTATACGTTGACATGAATTTGTTTTAATTTTATTAAGGTTCTCCATTAGCTTGTCCGCGCTGATCGGGTGATTAAAATTTTCAGATTTCCAGCAACTTCTTTCTGTACAAACTTCCACTCCTTGTTCTTCCTCTTTCAGAGATAAACTGAAATGCAAAATATTTTTAGTATTTTCTGTGACAGAAATATAAGTGTCCGAAACTGAATAAAATTGCTTGTACAAAATAATCGATCATCGATTATTTTTCTGCGATGTCAGTGCGTTTTTGATTTATCATATTTTCTCTATATATAACATTAAAATTTTCCAGACACTTCAGTTTGGTAGAGCAAACATTTTTCTGCAAGATGGGATATTCGATAGCTGCGTGATTTTTTTATAACTGATTCGGAACGACTTTGCTGAATGCCCTAACATTGATTATTAATCGGTGCATGCTTATTTCTACCTATTTTTTCAGCGAGACAAAAAAAAATTCATGACTCTTGAAAGTATCATGCGGACAAATCCTATTACGATTTTAACTAGGACATTTTTCTCTATCAACTGGTATAAGAGCATTGAAAACAGAGTTTGACACGTGGGAAGTACTTATAAAAGTTTATTACTAGGATTGTACTATAAATGCAATGATCGTCTGGAGAGAGAAGAACTCAGATTGGAATAAAAAAAAAATAAAGGTCACTTATTTATTAAAGAATGAAATAAAATTCTAGTATCTCATCTTGTAGCTTTTCACTAAAACTTGACATTTTTACACAAAGATATTCGAAATGCATCAGCCAATAGCTATTCAGTAGCTAGTAAATTCGTTAAGGAAGCGATTTGGAATCTCAGAGTCGAGGGACATAGATGTTCTAGCAGAGAAATCACAAGAATTAAATAAAAATCTTATAGAATAAAATCGAAAACGATATTCAATGTGTGATTATTCCAGACACAGTAGAGCTTCCAATAAATGTTATAAATGTTCAGAGTTTGTTTGTAACGAAGACAGTGCGCAGTGTATTTTTGTATTAAGTTTTTAACTTATCAATTTAGTAATTTCTTTTTTAGATTAAATATAAAAATAATTTAATTTTAACTGATATGGTTGTTTAATCCTTGACAGCTGTTCTCAGTTTTGGACTTCATGGCTGCTCAGGTGTCCGGTTGGACCTTCACGGGAACGTATGGAAGAAGTTCAAACTTTTTACCATTTGATTGAAGCTTTTCATGCATGGATCAATGGTCTACATCATGCTCTTTCTAGGCGTGAATATGTTGATACTGATGCAGGGGATGTAAACGTATATTATTTAAAAGACATTTTTGGGAAAGGTTTTATAATTATGTATGCACCAGTTTTTAACTGGTGTTGGAGTATCAGGGAAAATTTCTATACATCAGTTATCAAGATTCGCTCATAGCTTCGGACGGGCTCATTTTGTAGAAAAATGTTTGCTCTACCAAAATGACGACAGAGGGCGGCTCTAACACGGCTGGAAATCGTAAATATAACACCACGATTGTTATCGGGTCAGTGCGGACCCATACTCCAGTTTTTTTCTATGAGACTCATTCACGAGACTTGATATAGGTAGTGTGCATGGATAGAAGATTGACGATTAGAAAAGAGAGCAGCTCGAAAGAGATGTATACTGCCGAGTAAGAAACAGAAAACTTCATAGTGGGTCCAACTGGATCCCCAAACAGCTGTCAAGGGTTAAAAATCAAAAATGGCATTAATGGTAGTACGTAATGTAGGCTTGATAGTTCTACGGTTAATTCCTTATTTCATAGATTGCAAGCTGGCTGAAAAATGCAATTCGGCTACAATCACCTCTCCCAAAACGTTTTTTTGAGTGATTGTAGTAATTTACCATAATTTACGGGACGGAACTTTTAATTTTACCATGATCAGGTGTCTAGCAAATTTTCTAAAAATTTTATTTTTGCATCTTTTTTCTATAAAATATAATTTGAAAAATAGTTCTCATCATTTTTTTTGTTAAATGAACAGTAGTTTTGTTCTTATATTTCAAATATCCCTATTATTTATTCTGTTGCTCCCGCTTGCTATTGTCTTCTCGGAAATGGAAAGTATTTGAAGATTGCATGAAAATAACAGTAATTCTCAAGCGTAAACAAATTACACGTTTTTAACATAAATCTCTGTTAATAATTTTGTAAAACAAATAAACAAGAACAATGTTTGACGTTAGAAAACAGTCACCAGTATCAATAAAACGAGCTTTGATCATATTTTACTTCATCAAGATGATTATTCAAAAATAGATAAACATAGAAATAACAATAATGAGCAAGTGGCTGTTTTACACACCCATATATATACATGTATAATATATATATATATATTTTTTTTTTTAATAAAAAAAACAGTTTGCCCCAAAAAGCTTATTAGATAAAACACAAAATAAAAAATAAACAAATGCGATACGCGTAGCCAGCTGCGTGAGATATTTGTATGAGATTTTACCGAAAAAAGGATTGAAATGGAAAAGGTTTAAAGTCACAGTTAATCATCCGGAAAATTGAAAACACTAGCAAAATACTAGTTAGTTTGTTAACCAGCCGGCGATAACAATTATATCTGAGAATAATTTCAAAACAGATCAATAAATAAACAAAAGTTTCTTTAAAAGAGTGAGAAATAAAATTCAAAAACACTTGACTTTACGATTGCCTCTCATTCAAATCATTTTCCTATTTTGCTCTTATTTAGTTGATTTTTAATTCTTTTGCATGTTCCCATGGAAATTCTTCTCGTCCAAAATGTCCATAACATGCTGTTTTGGAAAAAATTGGCTTTTTTAAATCTAAATTTTTCATTATCATACCAGGACGTAAATCAAAATTTTTAAGGACTACATTAAGTAATTCTTTCTCGGAATATTTTGATGTACCGTACGAAAATACGGTCACTGACAATGGTTCCGCAATGCCAATCGCATAGGATACCTACAACGACAGAAGAAAACACGAATATTACAAAGCCATATATTTGAAGTTTGGTTTTTGCTAGTAATAGCCGCAATACAATAAGTCTAAATTCTCTAATACAAAACTGCTAATTATTTCTGAAGTTGACAGTTTGAAAAAAGTTTTTTAGCTACTCTTCCTCTTATAACAGAATAATCGTACTGTTTTTAGGACAAATCTGTTGTATGAATGGGTTTAACCTACTTGAACGAGGCATCGTCTGCATAATTTGGATTTAACTAATGATTTAGCTACCCATCTCGCAGCATATGCTCCCGATCGATCAACTTTGGATGAATCTTTGCCTGAAAACGCTCCACCACCATGTGCACCCCTAAAATTAAACTTTAAGTTATTTCAGGTTCAAAAATATGTATACAAAAAGAAAAGACTACTAACCATCCACCGTATGTATCTACAATGATTTTACGACCAGTTAAACCAGCGTCACCCTGAAATGAAAAGCAGATGATAAAAAAATACTAGTTACTAACAATATTCTCTTTCTTACTTGTGGTCCACCAATGACAAATTTTCCTGATGGATTTAAATGATATACTGTTTTTTCGTCCAAATATTTCTGCGGTACTACGGTTTTGATCACTTTTTCCATTAAGTCCTTTCTTAATTGTTCCATTGTTACATCTTCATCATGCTGTGTACTAATAACAATAGTGTGCACTCTTCTCGGTACGCACGCGCCATTATCAAACGAATATTCGACTGTCACCTGGGTCTTTGTATCAGGTCTCAACCATGGCAACTGACCGTTTCGTCTCAACTCTGATAATTTTTGGTTTAACCGATGTGACAAAATAACCGTCAATGGCATACATTCCTCTGTTTCATCCGTTGCATAACCAAACATCAGACCTTGATCACCCGCTCCGATGTCTTCATCACGTTTATTTTCATGTACAGCTTGTGCAATATCGGGTGATTGTTGTTCAAGTGCTACGAGAACGTTTATTGTTTTATAATCAAAGCCTTTATCCGATGAATCATATCCAATTTCTTTTACTTTTGCTCGAATAACTTGTTGATAGTCAATATGAGCTTTTGTTGTTATTTCACCACAAACCAGAATCATCCCCGTCTTTGTACACGTTTCACAAGCTACACGAGAATCAGGATCAGTCTTTAAACACGCATCTAATATTGCATCAGAAATTTGATCACATATTTTGTCTGGATGACCTTCACCTACAGATTCTGAGGTAAATAAAAATGTTTCCGTCGCACCCATTGTAGACTCCATTCAACTTATTTATCCTGTCTCCTGGAATGTTTTAGGCTCAGTTATCTGAAATACAAAATTAAAAACAGGGTTTAACAAGATTAAAGAGACATCTGATGTCTGAAGACTTCATAGCATAGAAGAGTACAAAATTATTCTTGATTGATAGACATAGTTACCTGATTGTTGCCCTACTTTCCAGTACAGAGATCAAAACCAAGAGACATCATGGTTTTTGAGCAAAATCATTATGATTGAAGTGAGTTTTAAAAAACCTCTTCGCTTTTTTATTAAAATATATTGTCAAATTTAAAAAACCAAAACACTTTTATTAACATATGCATTCGGCTAAAAACTTCTTAGAAGTTTAAACGTCAAAACATATTTTAAAATAAACGTAAGATTGTGTGACGTAAGAAAGTGTGAGATCATCAGACGTAAGAAAGTGTGAGATCATCAGACGTAAGAAAATGTGAGATCATCAGAGAATGATTATTTCATTCGGCTAGCGCAATATAAAATAAAAGATACTGTTTGAGAAAAACTGTTAATGAACGAAGAAGTCAACAAATTTGGAATAAGGAAGGCATAAAGATCCGTAATGAAGAGGTTGAACAGGATAAAAAAGAGAAAGAGGGTTTATGATAATTTTGAAAAATTGCAACAGTCGATGGTACTTTGATCTGAGAGAAAAATCTGAGTGTCTAAAAGAAATATGTTAGCCAAAGGGTACTTCCATTTAGATCCAACCAACTTATACCGACATAGCCGAAAACTTTCAAGACTCTTCTTGTGTAGAGCATAAAAAGTTACAAAGAATTCCATATTTGTTCGCTAAAAAAGTCATAAAGCAACTTTGATCTTGTTTTTCTGTACCTTTATAGAGTTTACACCACCGTTGGACATGCCATACAAAAGAGCATTTCGAGTAGTACAAATACTAATATTAAAAACTTGTTGTAGTACTTTTGCAATGGCAGGCCAGCTGTTGCAAAATGGCCGAAAATGAAAAAATGACACTCAGTATTCCACCTTTTCTGAAGACAAAACAAAACAAAAAGTTCTTACACTATGGATAAAAATGAAGGTAAAGAACTGATTAACCCAATAAAAAAAGAATAAGGTAGATATCTATCTTCCTCTTTGAGTATGCAGCCCATCTTTGAAGACCCTTTTTTAAAAACAGTTAACTTTCACGCCCCACAGCACAAAAAGTATACGGTGGAACTTTTTTGTTTTACTTCCATTTGTAGTACTGGTCGAGCTGTACAAAGTGGCATCAGAAATATTTTTGGCCCGCTTCGTTTTTGTCTGGGCGAACCTAAATGGAAGCACCTCAAATCAACGAAAAACAGCACGATCAGAAAGTTTGTTTACAAAATCAAGACTGGAGAGAAAGAAATAATTATCATATAATGAACGGCAGTAGTCAAGTGGCGGAAACATGCTAGAAACAAAGCTGCGATGCAAGGTATCAATAGATCGCAAGCCACACACACACACATCCCAAGGCTTCCCGCTTAGACCGACAGGCGAGCGTAACATAAGAACAGAGAGTAAGGAATACCATATAAGTCAATCGCGGATCCAGCCAGCGAGCGGCTGTTCGTACGGTTGATGAAAAAAAATAATTATGACTCAGCGACTGCCTCAAAGAGTTGTGGGAAAAACGCTAGTGCCGACGTGAAATCAGGTTTTTAACGCTTTACGAGTAGCGCATATAAAAAGTCGGAGCGCCAAGGCCAAAATACATAACAGAATAACACTGTCATCGATTCAAAACTTAAAATATTACACATTATGTCTAAAGACTCTAAAGCAAAGAATTTACTAGAAGGAAGGATTTAGAAAAAAATAATGTTTGATTGTGTGTGTCAGATATTCCATTGTAAGCCAATCAAAACAAAGAAAAAACAGACATTCTTTCTTAACCACGAAAGACAAAATATTCATAGAGATGCCTCAAATATCCACTGATGCAGAGAGAAGGCTAAGTAACCTTTTCTGTAGTTCGACGATAGATGTCGCGCGAAATTAGTCAGTTTTGATAACACAAAAAGTCATCTGCGGATAATAAAACTTATAGAATATAGATAGCCTATCCTAGTGAACCGATTAAGAATACCTCTAGCCCCCCTGGGATCTTCAGAGGCTGTCAAGAAAAACTCTTTAGCTTTATATTAATTACATTGGACGCTTTTTGTGTGGAATCAGAGAAATTCACAACATTTGCCAGCTATGGCCCTGTCTACACTACAAAAGTTAAAGCAACATTAAGCAATTCTATTGTTTGAAAGTTAAAGTTTAAGCCAATAGAATTCCTTAAAGCTCCTTTAACTTTTGTAGTGTAGACAAGGCCTATCCTGGTTGCGAACGCCGACCACCCATGTAAATATTTTTGAGTTCTAGAAGTGTCTCAAATCGCGTTTTATTCTACGTTTATGTCGCTCAGATATGCACCCTTTTGGTGCGTCTAGAAGCGTTTTATACTGACGTTTAAACGTTTTTTTTATGTTCATTTTTGTTTTTTCAAAAAAGCTTTTTTACTCTTGAATAAAATTCCTAGCCAAGATTTCATTGTGCTTTAGTCAGCTGAGATTATATATAAGTGTGAAAGCTTTATTTACGAGAAAGAAAGTTGATGCTGTCAGCGTGATTCGAATCTGGACAGTTTTTAATACTGATACGTAGTATTACATTATTAGATTTGTTGTCGAGCAGTTAAATTTTAATTATTTATTATCGCACGAAAACAAACTGTGAGGTAAGTAACCCAAGCAAAAATCACCTATGGGAAAAATCTAGATAGATTTCGACTGTAATAGGGCGATGCACGAGTAGTTATCATCTAGATTATTAGTTGAAAAAGGGACTTTTAACTAGATGCGTCTACATATGCACCTAGCAATAGTTAAATCGATCGATTAACGGGCGATAAATCGATAGTTGCAACTAGAAGAAACCTAGCAATCGCCCGATTACTAGATTTCCACGGTCGTTACCCAATAGTTGCAATCGAGTAAAAATCTAGTAAACTAGGTGAATCGGGCGATACTATATTTTTTTTATGCTTGGGTAAGTCACCATGTTGGCAAACTTTTGATTTAAAACATTGCTCACTTTCATTGTATGTTGTCAAATTGAGACATATACTGTAGTATCTGTAAAAAAAGTGATTTCACCTCATTGTAACTTGAGCAAAAATTATTAGAAGGGTGAGCCGTTCTTTTTGATCTATCTTACGATATCGATGCATTATCTTCATCGTCTAGCGGAGTCAACTGAATTATTGTCAAGTCAACAGAAACTTTTTAGTGGTAAAAAATGGTGGCAATTTAATGCTTGGACCACACCATGACATCTAGACTGATGTGAAAAGGAATAACTTCCAATTTTTAGTCACAACCGAATAGCTGAACTGTCAGTATTCCAGCTAAATGCATTCGATTGGTAGTTATTCGACGAATCGTAGTTTGTCGTACTCAGAAGAAATGACCAGAGGCCTGTTTCTTAAAAAAACTTAAGTAGAAAATCTTACTTAAGTCAAAAAAGACAAAGACTTTTTTGGACTTAAGTTTGACTTAAGTAAGATTTTCTACTTAAGTTTTTTTAAGAAACAGGCCCCAGTTTGAATTGAAAAGAATTTTTGTCTTAATAAGCAGTCTATTTGGTACCTCTCTTTTTCAGTTTTTACGATCGGCTATATGAGTTTAAATCTTATTGATATTAACGGCTATTATTTACCGCTAAAAGAAGTCAACAACAACAAGAGAAAATAGTAAGAAATTACTTAAAATATCCGTAGGTTGAGAATGTACGTATGACTAACGATGATCGTTAGAAAGATGGCTAATCTGAAATAAATTCAAGAAAGTGACCATGTAAAATATATAAAAAAATCAAAACTCGAATAAGGGTAGAATAGACAGAACCTAGTTTTTCATTTAACATAATACTGTTGTTTGAGAAATGTTTGCTGCATAACTCGAAAATTATCATATGGATCTGCACGGACACATTTTTTAATACGTGTGTAGAATTCTCTCCTCGATAACAATTTTTTGCCAGAGAAAAAAGATGTTTTTTCAGTAAAAACTAATAACTGATTTAGTAGAAAACGGTGTACTTTGAATAAAAACTGCTGACTGATTTTAGTTTACGTGATGCATTCTTGTGTATCCATATCGGTTTCTTTCTCATCTCTGACTTTTGCTTCTTGTCCTTTTATACCGCTTGGTTCCAGAACACAGATCAAATTGAGGGAAATGGTGTGAAACTCTATTATAATAAATAGGAGTGATACTTTCCTCTGAAAAGTAACGGTAACAAAAATCCGTTACCTATTACCAGTAAATAGTAACGAAAATCAGAAACGATGAAGGAAAAGTGCTACTCATAATAATAAAGAAGACAAAACTACAGTCATTTGGCGTCAAATTCAGGGTAAACAATTTGGACTTTTTCAATCTTGTAGAATAACTCTTAAAACTTCGTTTTAGCTTTAAAAGAAGCAGAATTTTATCTAATATTTAATGATATGCTTTGGTTGGAATATATCGTTATGATTTCTTTAAAACTTCCGAAATAGTAAACTTTCCTCCCCCCCCAAAACTATCCTATTTTTATTCGGACAGGATTTTTTCCACTATAAGACTATGGCTTCTTGAATCTAGCATATTGAGAGCAAGTGTAGAGAATTTTGGATATTCTGGTCTATAGAAAAAACCGGACTGTTACCTTTTAAATCTTATAAAGATAATACGTGTGCTTAGTTTTTCAAACTTTTTGTTTTTCATAGAAAACTAGAATTAAATTGACTCTCTTTTGTAACAAAACCAAATGTTATTATTTTATTTCATTCATAGGATTTTGTAGAGCTTGGAAAGCTGAATCTTTTGGTACCTAAATTTTTATGGCTATGTGTGATAGAAAAACCCGTTTACAAAACCGGTTACTTTTCAGATGGTAGTAATATTTTTTAACGAGAGTTTACTATTTCAGAAGTTTTAAAGAAAGTATATAATTAAATACTAGATAAAATTCTACATCGCTTAAGTCTAGAACGAAGTTTTAAGAGTTATTCTTTAAGGTTGAAAACATCCAAATTTTCCATGCTGAATTTGACATCAAAGGACGATAGTGTCTGCTCTTTCTTTCAGATTATTTTTATTAATCATGCTACAGTTAGGATAAAATTGCCACGAACTTCAGCGTTATTGTATCAGAATAAGAAGTATGTGTTTTCTATGAGAACAACGAGCAGGTTAACTGTAAAGATTTTTTTCTTACATAGCAAGTATTTTTTTGTGTGTTTATAGTCATGAAGAGATAATATGTGTGGATGCATGACGAAAAAGAACAGTCAGTAGATGCGAACATCCTGTCTCTTTCTGACAAATTACTATGCTCATATGATGTTTTTGCTGGCATGTCTTAAAAGAAAATGTATAATGTGAAGAATTTTTTGCTAAAAAATCTTTGATTTTGCTGTTTCGTTTATGTCCATGTTCACCTCATATAGATCTCTAAATGATGAGTTTTTTTTCAAAACCTAAAGAATATATTTTTAGATGCCATTGACAAGAAAAATAACACTTTAGAAAGAAAACTGTATTGATTTTAGTTACAGATACTAAGAAAAAGACAAATACGGATCAAGGCTGAAATAATGGACGAAAGTAGTTATTGATCTGGAAAATGAGAAAGTCGAATCTCTATAGACATATCTAACTTTATATTCTGATAGAAAATCATTATAGTTTATACGGAAATCAACTGATTATTCTAACTGATCTTATCATGATTTTTCATCATAGGTCATGCTCATGATTTATGAACTTTCAGACAAAAACTAAACAAGTAACACGATGAATTTGAACTTGATATAAAAAATTCGTATGAGAGATAAAAATAATGTCAATGACACGTAAACTGCATGACAAAAAAAGAAAACAAACGTTTTTCTCGTACATGCGAGTAGTAGAAACTATCAAACACATATTATTAATTGTGTTGAATAGACTCATGTGTGTAACAGTAACATACTGTTTAGATATTTTTCTGTTTTTTCATTCCTTCTCCTGAAACGTTATTGTACCAATTGATGAAATAATAGTGGAATATTCTCGGAAATGGTAGAAAGTAATGTCAATTCGATCAATATCAGATAGAATACTTCATTTATATCAATGCGGATGAGAAATGAGTCGTGATAACTTTTTGTACAACAAGGTGTAGTTAGTATAACACAAAAAGGCATCTTCTGAGTGTGATTATCGACGACGCTCAAATCGAAACAGCATAGGTTATCATTATCTCATGTAATTAACGATACCTCTATGATTTGTTCTACTAAATAAGGGAACAAATATAAATGAGTCTAAAATTATCCAAAAAAAAAAAAAGATCGAATTGAGACAGATAAAAAAACGATTAATTCTCTATTATTTTTTTATCAGAAATGATACTACATATTTCCTACATTAGAATTAGAACGAAAATAAAAGTTAAAACATAAATGAAATTAGAAGAATTATTTGATGTGATGTAAACACAAAACGTTCATGTTTATGATCAAAGTTCAATGTTAAAAGTTGAAAGATTTTAGAATATCTAAAATTATGTTAATGATCTATAAGAAGAAATTACGATTGTATATAAGAAAATAAAATTATCCAACGATGAAATGTTGATGATAGACAAAAAAGTGAAAATATGTGGACTTCTGAAGTTTGATTATGGCCTTAAATAATAATACAAAATGAAGTTTTTATCATCTGTCTTTCGTTTTCTTTTCTGATACGTTTTGGCTATTGTTTATTAATATCAATGAAGAAGTATTCGTCTCGTTCATTTCGAACATCTTACATTTAGATTCCTGTAGACTGATGAGTATTGTTTTGTCTACTTTTTAGATTATTTATTATTTTTTGTCTTGTTGTCACTTTTTCACATGGCTCAACGAAAATTGCTAACAAATGACTCTAAAAATCCTTCCGATGCCTCACCAAGTGAAATAGATGTTGAAATAGATCACGACAAACATGCAAATCTAGTCGAAAATGAATCAGACGGTTTAGAAACAGCATGCTATCGTAAATGTCATGGTCAATTTTCATTAAACGAAACAGAAAATCATTTTCAATATGAAATTCCACTAGATTTTAGTCCATTTGAACGAAATTTATCAACATTTACTCAAGAACAGTATGAACGTCTTGATGAATTACTCTTGAATGGTAGCACAATATTTGATTTACAAAAATTATTCCAATCGAAACGTTTGACATCCTATGAACTATGTTTATATTATTTAAAACGCATACAAGATAAAAATAAATATTATAAAGCTATTTTAGAATTAAATCCACAATTATTAAATGATGCAAGAGAAATTGATAAAAACAGAACAGTTGAACAACGTTCACAAGTTTATGGATGCGTAGCGGCATTTAAAGGTAAGAGAAAAATGATTAATACATCGTTGAGATTGACGAGTAGTTTTTAAATTTTGTTTTAGGTAATATTTCAATATCAGGTTTATACAATGATTGTGGTTCGTATGTGTTACATTCAAAACGTATGATTATTGATGCTCCTATCGTCAAATATTTTCGTTCGCAGGGTGTCCTAATTCTTGGTCGATGCAATTTATCTGAATGGGCCTATGGTATGACCACAAAAGCGCCAAGTGGTTTTTCTTCTGTAGGTGGCCAATGTTTACATCCTGATGACTATCATCAAGATATATCTGGATCATCATCGGGTTCTGCATGTGCTTTAAGATTAAATATGTGTACATTTACAATTGGAACTGAAACTGCTGGAAGTTTATTGAGTCCAGCAATGCATGCCAAAAATGTGTGTTCATTGAAGCCAACGCAGGGAACGTGGCCCAATAACGAGATTATACCATTAAATTATGATCAAGATACATGTGGACCAATGACAAAAACGGTAGAAGAATTAATTTTCTTGCATCAGATCATCTCTAAACAATCGATAAATGAAAGAAAAAATATTTGCGTTGGAATTATTGGTAAATAGATGAAATATTCATTAAATTAGTTTTACGATAGAAAGATTTTCTTTTATTTTTAGGTGAAAATGTTAATGATTTTTCACTATTAACTCAAATTTGTCATCATTTAAATTATTCAGTTGTTAATTTAAATAAAGAAAAATCGATTATTAGTGATTTTTTAACTATCGTTACCGGTAATCCTTCAACATCTTCAATTTCATTTACTGAATTTTTATGTTATGCAATGAAACGAGATATAACCGATTATTTATCATCTCATTCAACACTGTACGATAATTGTTCATCTCTTGATCAAGTATATACATGGAACAAAGAACATTCCAAGTATATACCATACGGACAAGAATTATTTACAAAAGCATGTGAAGAAACAATTACAGAAGAACAGTATATCAATTATAAACAAGCATTAGAACAAGCTTGGACAAATTTTAAACAAATATGTAAAGTAAGTAGAAAAGATAAATGAATTATTCATTTTTCTCTTTATCAGTTATCTAATAATCTAATAATTTGTATTGTTGAATAGATTCATTGATAAAACGAAACTTTAATATACATTTTTTTTTTTTTTAATTTTATATTCAGTCAAAATATTGTGATTGTATAATAACAGTTGGTGATGATTTATTTGCTTTGACAACTTTATGTAAAATTCCGAGATCATGTTTTACAGTAAATTATTTCAATGATCAAACAATGAATTTAGTAGCAATTGGTCTAGATTTAAATTCGGATCTCTTGATATTAGATATACTCAAAAATATTGAAAAAATAACTAATGAAATTAAATTTGATTCAAGATCTTACTATGAGAAATATATATATCAACCATATGATTACTATTTTAAACAGCAAAAATGTATCATTCTGTAGAAAATAGATTGATCACTATGTTAGTTTTCTATCTTCAGAACTTAGTCCATATCGTGTATATTACACTAGTTAGATTAATGAATGAATGAATTGTGAACAATATAGTAAAGTATAAATGCGTTTTTATATTTTTTTCTATAGTGTGCTTTGGTAGAGTTGAAAAAGAATATTTTTGTTTCAGCCTTCTTGTCTTATGAAAATATTTTGTGTTATGTTGATAAAACATGGTTTGTTTGTTTTTTCATTTGAAGTTGATCTATTGCTCAAAATGAAATTATTATTCATTTTTATTTGAACAAGATCTGATTTAGTCATAATAAAATTTTTCATTTTGCTAAACCCTTTCTTTCAAATATACCTTTCTTTTATTCTGCTTTATTTAACTCTCCTATCCATACTACATCTAACTTTGACTATTTATTGTCTTTTCATGACGCTTGGATGCATATGTGATTTAGTTCGAGAATATATGTCATTTTATTTTGTAATATTTATTGACTTTTTTATTTTTTTTTGACAAATGTATATGGTGCAAATACGTTTTTTGAATAGATTATCTTTTAAACATTGTGGATTGGTTTTAATCTTTGTATATGTTTAATATTTGGTATTGATTTTCTCAAGACAACTATACAGTTAAATGTATTGATCCTACTATTTTAGATTAAAATGACGTCTAATATAATGAGAGATGGTCCTCCTAATTTTAAAGAAAATCGTACATTATCTGCTGAATCAACAACTTCAGAAGGAGACAATAATGAGTCGATAACGCCACCACCTGCCTACAATTGGGAAAAAGATAAAAGAAAATCAAAAATATTTGATGATGGAACAATATCATTTTTTTGGTATGTAATATAATTGTAAAACATGAAAATTATGCTTTATAAGGTAAAGACTCATGTTTCAAAATGAGTTTATTTATAACATTGTCAGATACGATTGTGTGCTGTTGTATGATTATTATTATCTGTCTAACTTTTTTAGGCGTACCCATACGGTAACCGTATTAACAATATCAATGGCCATTTTATTTTATGTGGCCATATTTGAAAAACAAAATCTTGATTCTAGTTTTAATACAAAACGGTATGTGAAATATCTCGTTTTATTTGTTTAATAGAAAAATTATTATGTTTTTATTTGTTTCTAGAGGTTTATTAGCATGTTCTATATTTTTTCTGTTATTTGGCGTTGTTATCACCCCAGATGGGCCGTTCATTCGACCACATCCAGGTAAAGCAAAGAAATATATTTTTTTTCATGAAAAAGTTTTTATTTGCTATAGTGCTCTCTTTCTTTACTTATTCCAAAAAGACATGTCTCATTTTATAATATCCTTTTTTACCTAATATACCTTTTTTTTCAGCATTATGGCGTCTGGTACTATGTTTCAGCGTTTTATATGAAATTTTATTAATTTATATTTTGTTCCAAGTACGTATTGAGAGAGATATAGTCTAGTACAATATTAAACTCTATGTTTATTATTAGAATGTTGATGATGCGAGACATTTATTAACTCATATTGATCCAGAATTGGGTAAACCATTACCAGATAAAGATTATGGTGGAAGTTGTCGGATTTATGATTGGGAAAATCCATCAGATCCATTTCATTCATTCAGAGTAAGTACAGGCTGATAAAGAAAAAATGTCATTAGCTGTTGTTGTTTAAATCTTAGGATAAAATGGATGGTTTTGTGTTATCACATTTTTTTGGTTGGTGGTTAAAAACATTGATATTACGTGATTTTTGGTTATGTTGGGTAACATCAATTGGTTTTGAAGTATTGGAATATTCATTAGAGCATCAATTACCGAATTTTAGTGAATGTTGGTGGGATCACGTATGTATCTCTAGAGACTCTTCTATCTACTTCATCTGTTCTATACTCTAGAGTATGTTTAAAAATCTTTAAGTCTAATATGAATGAAGATCGTACGAAGTTTTTGATTTCGCTTCATGTTGAGACTATTATGGGCTTAAACTAGGCATCTCACTTAAGTCTTACTTGAGTCAAAAAAGTTAAGAAAAACTGAAAAGAATGTTAAGTTTGTGTTTAAGACATCAGTTAGATATATAACTTAGTTTAAGTTCTATATTACCAGAATACATGTGACAATGAATCCATTATTCTATTCTAAAATTGAAACTATCAGAAAATACATAACCGTCAATATTTTTTGAAATACGTTTGTTTTTCTAGTGGATATTAGATGCTTTGATATGTAACGGTGGTGGCATTTATTTGGGACTGAAAACGTGTGAATATTTAAAAATGAAACCGTATAATTGGAGAGGAATGTGGAAAATTCCAACTGTTAGGTAAATATATTTTACACATGCAAATGGAATGTATACTTTACTTGTCTGTATTTAAGGGGTAAAATAATGCGTGTATTAGGACAATTTACTCCGCACGATTGGTTAGAATTTTCATGGCGTCCACAATCATCGTTAAAGCGTTGGTGTGCAATGTTGGGCATAATAACGATGTTATTTTTAGCTGAATTGGGCACATTTTATTTAAAATTTATTCTTTGGATACCGCCGCCTCATCTCCTTTGTTTAGGAAGATTATTATTCTTTTTACTAGCGGGTGGAGTGGCTATGAGGGAAGTATTCGAATATTTGGATAACAGGTAAGCGTACTTTTTTTATCTTGTTTAATAATAGCATATTGTCGATTTCAAATGACTGTTTCTTCGTAGAAATGGTCACTTTAAAAAATTTGTTTTGAATTTGTTTTAATAAATCATGAACAGATTTGTTGCTAATTGAGAATTTGCTTGTATTTCTAGTGAATGTAAAAAGTTTGGTCGTCAATCGTGGCTAATAAGTGCAATTATTATTACTGAAGTTCTAATTGTATTAAAATTTGGTTGGAATATTGTTACTTTACCATTTCCATTTCATATTACCGTCCTTTGGTTAACAATTATTATTTTACTGTTCCTATGGACAGTTTATCAATTTTGGTTTAAAAAATTGATTCATTGGCATCATCGACGATCAAGTGCACCTGTCATACAACTTCAATCAGAAACAGAACAATCAACAAATTACTCGTCTGATGATAATAGTACACTGAGACGTCGAACTATTTTGGAATAATAAACAACTCATTCCACTTATTCGTTGTTTCAATTATATGATGTTATATATGTAACCGGTAAATATAAACAGATGCTGAAAAACTATATTAACAATGAATTACTAAAATGGTTTACGATAGGTAGGACTTTTGCAAAGGATTCAGATGTTGTAGTTCGTATAATTTCTTTAATATTCGAACGATAAAATGAGTACTGTAGTCTTGTTATAGACTAACACATGACTACAATTTAATGCGAATCTGACAATTCATTGCTGTTGAATGACGATTTTCTTTTTTTCATTTTCTTTTGTATTTAGCTATACAAGTTAGTCACTTGTTTCTCAAAAGTGTAATCTGTGGTGGTATTTTGCCGGTTTATTTTTCCATTATTGTGTCGTATGTATGTTTATTCGAACAAATATTGTATAGTTTGTGTTCCGTTTTTATTGGTTTTTGAGTCATTTTTTGATATTGGTACGAAGAATGATGAAGAATGATTGAGAATGATGAAGAATGAGCTTTTCAAATAAAATGAATCCTGCATTTTATAATTTTTTACTTCTATCGAAGCACAACTTTTCTGTTTTGCTTGGAATCACTTCAACACAGATAGTTTTTGTTTACTTTTGAAAAGTTATAAAACTTACGAAAAATTGGTTGGTATTTATCCGATATGAGAAGTGTTGTGCAAGCGAAGTTTATGGGATTTTTTGTAGGATATATGTCGGAAATATACAGGAGGGGCTTCTTTGGGAATTAGTTTTCGAAAAACAAAGGTAAATTTGGAAAAAATGTAAAAGCCCATCTTCTGTTTGATCTTAGCTATTGTGTTGATCGTAGAAAGACAATTTAGTGTACTATTTACTTTTGATTTATGATTTCATTTTTACAGAGTTATTACATTTAGATTTGTCACTTCGGGTCAAATTTGTTTTAGAACATTCAAAGAAATTCTAATCTTATTCAACTATACTATCGTCTGTACAGTTTCAATAATTCTTTCCTTTCGTCGCTCTGTAGTCCGTTGTCCGTCATACCGAAAAACTTAAAATGTGTTGATGAGGAAACTGCCATAATGTCGTTATTTCGTATGAGTTTGAATATGATATTTGTGACTCTTAACTTTAGAGTTTTTATTTGAATAGAGTCTCAGCTTATGTGATAAGAGTCATTTCCTAACTGGTATGGACTCCATGAAACTGCTAAAATATATGCGGTCAGGGTAAGCTAGATGCAAGGTACGATCAAGGTAAACTCATGTCAACACTAACGGTTAATACTTACTGTTTTCTGACTAATATCGCTCAGTCATGAGATAGATGAAGTGATTTTTCTTTTTTCTAATCTAATTAGTTTGACGTAGAATACAATGACACTGCGATTATCAAACAGTGTAAAATCGTACACCGTGACTTGCAGAGAGGAAAGTCTTAATAATAAAAGTTTGTTGAAAAATTGAGATTCTGTTCAGATCGTTAGAATTCAAATACATACGAACCACTTTTTCAGAAACCTAGTGAATATCATTCGTGTTTTCTATGTCACACATCTGGCATCTGAAACTATAGTTAAAAATAGAACATTTAGTTTCATTTTCTGAATAAATTATTCCAGTATAACTTAAAACTTTAGTAAATACTTGATCAAATATGAGTGTACCATTGAGAAAAAAAATTGTCAAATATTTTCAAGTGAGTGTACTGAAACAGATAGAGTTATAAATATTCTTCTAAACAGTTTAATCAGTATTGTTCTATCGGGCACAATGCGAAATTAACTTTCTAATACAAAAATGTGGATTAGTCTTGAAGTTTTTCGTCAAAGTTATCTAATTTTATCAAAAAACTGAAGTCAAATAACCACAATATTTACTTTCGAGAAAAATGAACTGTTTTCTCAGTCTTCTAATTTATGGTATCATTAGTAGAACGATATCTGTAACTTTTCAAAAAAGCAAAAAGTATCAGTCAGTTTCTAACCATAAACTAGTGTCAGATGTCAGATGTGTCACATAAAATTACTAACTGACGAAGTCTGAGATAATGATTTCTACTAAGCGTTATACGTTTGTTCTGTATAGAAAAGTTGAAAAGTTTCTGTAGATACAACAGTAAACGTGCTTTATCAAACAAAAATTATTATTGAATTAATTAATCTTTTTTGCACTTTTGTTTGCTATTTTAAGCAAAAAACGAACTGAATTTGAACGACATTTTGCCGTTATGATTCAATGATACCATAACCATAGAATTATTCACGTATTCTTCGTAAATAAACAATAATAGATTGTATAAACTCCATATAATTTTGAATACCAAGGCAAAAAACAACTAAAAATAAAAATAGTACTGAATACAGCTGACTTGCATCGGTGTTCTCATCGTGTACGATATTATTTAATACATAATGTTCCGATAATTGATGTTTTCTTTGACTATCATTCAAATATTCGATGTAATCCATATTTAATATAGTTTGAATAATAAACCTTTTAAATCGCTGATCGATTGTTTCACCACTCATTCTTTTGTTGTTTGTGATATTTATTTATAATTTGTAACATGTGATCAAGCGCCAAAAACTAAAACAAGGACAAATAATAAAAAGGAGAAGAATTTCATCCATATATATACTTAACTATTTATGTTTGAAAAAGTAAACAAAATCGAGTTTTCAATTCAATTGTTCTTCCATTGTTCTAGAAATTCTTGAAAAATATGTGAAAATCAGCAAGAAATGAGATGTGTTATGAAAAAAACGTTTTGCTCTACCTGCAGTGACAGACTTAGAACGAGCCTACTATTAAGCGTTGACTCTTGTTAGACGCAATTATTTTCGACAATAGTAAAGATGGGAGTAAAAGAATCGTATAAAGAAGAGTCAATGCTATATAAAGAGTTCTACCGATGAGATGAATAATTTCGATGCTGATGTATAAATCTTTTTCAAAACTTGTTCTTCTTTGAAGGACGCTAAAATGTATATAAGTCACGCATTGCAGACTATTCCATTGATCTATTTTCATTAGAAAATAGAGAATGAAGTTTATATTCTATATTTTTGAATACGAGTGACAGACATTATCCATCCTATTAAATTAAATTTACGAAAAAAATGTTTTTTTGGTTTTAGTTAAATCATCTTATATACACTCAAAAAAAAGTATCCAAAATTTGACGCTTTTTTCAAATGTGCCGTCTTCACTCCTTAGTACCCACTATTGTTTACTATGTCTAGTAAATAAATATTGCATATCTTACAAACTGGCATCTGATTAAGTCTAAGAGATAAAATTATCTGACATGAGTGACAACCAGGACATTAGTCTTATTTTCTTTCATAAAAGTTATTATAATGCACAAAAAAACCCAATTCTTATAATATTATTTATTTTTCTATCCTATTTCAGATAAATTATGTTAGAACAATTTCCAAATGAACTATTACTATATCTCTTTGATTATCTATCACCATCTGACATATTTTATTCATTTTCAAATTTAAATTTAAGACTAAATAGTTTAATATCATGTTTTGATTTAACTCAAATGTCACGTAAATCATTATCATTATGGACACAATCAATTTTACCTAAATATCATATAACATCATTGATACTTTCTAATAAACATCTTGATCTTATATTAGAATTATTTCATGAAGATCAATTACATTCTTTAATATTTACGGATTTAAATTTTTTTCAATCATCAAAATTAATATATTTTAAACAATTATCCTATTTATCAATACAATCCATGGTAGCAAATTATTCTGATAATATGTTTAAAACATTATTATCTTTACCAAAATTAGATCAATGTTATTTATCAACAACATTTGAATTAAATTTTTCTATTAATGAACTATTACCAATTAGTAATATTCGTTATTTAACAGTATGTCTCGTTGATTTAAATTGTTTATCAAAATTATTTTTATCTATACCTCATATAAAATATTTAAATGTAACTATAACATCCGGTTATAAATGGCATACATCATCATTAATAGTTCCTTCAAATTTAAAATATTTAAAATTAATTTTAAATGATACAATATCATTTGATCCTATAGAATCTTTAATAAAAATGTTTCAAAAACTTATTTTTTTATCTTATTCATCAGAAAATTGTCGTCAAAATGAGTCTCATATAAATAATGAAAAATGGCAAAATATTCTTAAATCTTTACCAATTTTAAAACAATTTCAATTCTATTGTGAATTATCAGATCGTTTTGATATTGTTGATGCTAATAGAATACTTTCATCATTTCAAATAGATTATTTTATTAAAAATAAAATTTATTTTGCTGTATTAATGGATAATACATCACATTTTATTCTACATACTATACCATATCCTAATAAAAAAGCATCAATACGTTGGAATAGTTTCAAGTGAGAAGTGATAAATTGTTTAGAAAAAAAAATACTATTATATATTTTTGAATTTTTTCTTCTTTTAGAGTACAATTAACTTCATTAAATCGTGTACGAAATGTCTATGATTATGTTCGTTTTCTTAAAATAACTGTTAGTGGTAAAACAATACCTCAAATTGTATTACCTCAAAAATATCCAAATGTCGATTCATTAGAATTAAATGTAACACCGATACCTGTTAATATATTAGTAGCATTTTTACAATATTTAAGTACAATAATATCTTATTCAAAATTAAAACATCTTTATCTTCGTACAAAATATTTTTCCAGTTCAATTTTTCATGAAATGTTTTCACAATGTCAACAACTTAAAACATTCAATTTAGCTTTTAATGATGTAAAAAATAAATTATTTTCATCAGATTTAAATATGAGAACAGTTGAAACACTCATTTTACGCTATTATTTATCGTTAACTAATGACAAAATTTATGATTTATCATCAATATTTCCTAATGTAAAATTTTTATCAATTGAACTAGAACAAATATCACTTTTTATGACTACATTTGATTTATTATTTGAAAAATTGAAAAATTTAGTCCAATTTAATTTAATTTTATACGGTGAACAACAGTCACAATCGGCAGAATGGTTACAAACAATACCAATGTTTCAAAAATATTATATCACAACAAATCGAGGACGACTATCTGTTTGGGTTTAACAGACTCTCATTCTTATTCTTACTTTTATAAGAAAGTCTTCTCATACATTAATTGAACAGAAACTATTATTTTACGGGATATTTTATACATATAGTTATTTATTTATTTCAGCATCTTTGCATTAGACAACAGTAGATCCGTTGGTAGTGAATAAGAGATTGTTTATGAAGTATTTCAAAAAAGAACAAGACGATTATAAAAGCTTATTTATCGAAAGCGTCCATCGCTGAAATTAATTGTTGCACATTACATGAACAACTCAATCTAGAATTAGCATCACAAGAATTTCTAACACAGCAATGATAGAGTCATATCTATTGGAATCCTCTTACATTTTTCAGTCGATATCACTGAACAACTAGAACATTTCAGAATACAAAAATTTTAGGTTGGATAAGGTTGTTTGTTCAAAGCAAATTTCAAAAAATTCACATCATACCATTGCCCACAACCTTCATTTATTGAGTTGAACAGTCGATTTTGAGCTATGACTTTTGTCCTCACCTATTTGTCACTAATAAATAATAAGTTCTTATTCACGCTACCAGATGCGTAGGAGTCATAGCGCTAGCAGGCTGCTTAAAGGCATCTTAAATTAAGTAGTGGTTGTTGTATGCTGTAAAGCATACAAACCTGGTATGTAATTGTTTCTTTTGTGTTGATCAATAGAAAGCTGAATGAGATCTTCTATTGCAGAGAATTGTTTGTTGTATCAGAGTACATAATCGGATGAATTCTCAAGCGTTGTCTTGAAAATTAAATGATTTTCTCTGCTATTTTATGATATATCAAGCTTTTTCCTGTGTGAGCTAGTAGTACGAGATCGGTACTAAGAGAATAATCTCAATATTGACGTCATTTCAACAGGCCAATGATAAATCCACAATTGACCAAGATATACTATAATTGTTTTATTATTATGTCTTGCAGTGAAAATTTCGTTCAAATAAAACGTTTGTTGCTTCAGTTCTGAAAATACGAAGCCCTAGCGACTTTTAGTTTTTATTTCACAGCATTTCTACGGGATGCCCCAAAAGAGGGGGGTACCCTTAAGGGTGATTCTTTTGAAAACGTTTTACGTAACCAAAAATCAGTAGTTTTAACAAAGTAGTGGTCTAGGAGTATTTTGTACATATTTGACTGATACTGTATCACTTAGAGTCGATTAATTCGATTTACAAGCTCATGGTATGAGGTAATTTATTTTCGAATTCTGAAACGTGCTTTTTCTTATATTGGATAAGGGCATTGAGGTTTTTCTGTAGACAGCTGTAAAGTCAACTAACGGGATTGATTTTATTGTAGTGAAGGGAGGTTTATTCTGGAATACAGGATGTTTCTCGACTCTTTTTATGCTAGTATGTGAACCTGAGCGAGAGTCTTTTACTGTGACAGTAGTTTTGATTATATCGGATTGATTTTGACATAATTACTTTGTTTTTGTTCAATTGCTCGTTTATAATTACAATTGTCATTAATACAACATTTAGATTGTCATTGATAAATTTTTAAGCCGTCCATTAATTGTATATTAAGAAGAGATGAGAAATTTTTTGTGGTGACAAGAAGGTTTGTTGCCGAACTGAAACTGTAGACCGGTAATATTTTAATTAATCCGCCTTGCATTATCAGTGAATCTTAAAGATTTCTCCTTCTTAATTACACTGTTTGAATCTAATAGTTGCGAAACATGTTGAGAGTTGATGCATCGCTTTCTAACAATGACGGTGCACTCAATCTAAAAACGCGGATGATAGTGATAGTCGATAACATTATTTCTGTTATTGGAGAATATCAATTGTGGCTAACGATTACAGTTTAAATTCAGCACCATCCTCTATGGCTACAATTTTCATTATGGACCATAGTTCTCACATCGCAGCTGCGACATTTGAAACTGACAGAGTAACAAGTAAGTTTGGCTGAGCACTCAAAATTTTTGAGTAACCAAAGCGATCATAATTCCATATCACATTCAATGTTGAGAATTATGTTGGATTATAGTCCCATAGTAGAGGATACCGCTCAAAAAGCAAAACATATAGTAGTTCAGTTCAGTTTAATTTATTCTGACATAGCCATGGGTACATGAAAAAGCATTGCTAGTGCAAAAGTTTGTAAAAAAAGAATCTACGTTTGATTAAGCATCCAGGCAGATAACTTTGTCGACATGTCTACAAAGGAAGGAGAGAAGAAACAAACAAAATAGTAAAGAAGATGACAACATAACAAGGAAAAAGAACAGTACAAATATTGATAAACAAAAAACATCATTATTCTTACATTTGAGGAAAGCAGAGAAAGACGGTTTTGAGGCTATATGCTCCATTAGTAGAGGATTCCAGTCATTTGGGGTTCTCCAGAAAAAAAGAGGACTGGACTGTTTAATAAGTGGTAAAAGGCGCTTCTACCGCTTGAGAATTCGTGCTACGACGAAGTGACCACCGTTTCAATCGATAAAAAAACCTCGTGGGATAGATTGTAAAAAGAGACAAAGCGGAAAAAACGCCTACGCACTATAAGATCAGGCAGTCGTAGCGGGATAGCCAGAGTACTACTGTCTGTTTCAAGGTCAAAGTTTCTGGTAATAATGCTCGCCGCAAGCTTCCGGAGGGTATCTAGTGCAGCAAGATGTGTGGAAAAGTTTGAGTCGTAAACTGCCGGGCAATATTCAGTTTTGGGTGGAACACAAGGGTGATTCTTTTGAACGTGTACCAGAGTTTACATTGACTTTATCCCAACAGTTCGAAAGTAATAGAACAAGGGACGCCGTGACAAATCTGAAAACTGCTGGTACTTCGCGTAGTCCTATTATTATATAGGACTAGTACAACTCGAGGTTCTGATGACGAATATCACATTTAAAACATTTTAAAACAACGGCATCGTGGCCTTCTACACCTGTGGAGATCCCATTTCCCAGCCGAACAGACCTTTTCTGGGCATTTTCATCATTTTTTAGAGAAACACTTTCATGAGCTGGCACCGTTAGATTAGAATCTATAGGTGCAGCGCTGCAAATTCCTAATGGACAAAAGGTTCCAAAATGCTAACCATGTTCTCAGGAAAATTTTTAAAAAAATCGTTTTTTCGACCACTTAAGATCGTGCTAAAGACCTAAACCTAATAGTTTGGATCTAATAGTAGGATCATTATCAAGAGAAAGAGGATAGTAGAGTTTATAAAATTATTCTTTACGTTCTAGAAAGGAAAAAGTCTATATCATACCCCGTACATATATTTATTTAAAAATAAATATCGCTCCACACTGGGCATGTCCGATAACCTACCTCTCCATGTGTTTGAAGGGTTACCACACGGTAACGAAGATCAGTCTTGGCGCTCCGAGGAAATCCGATTCCGTGACTAATCAACTGTAAATAAAGGCTTTGCTTTAACTCCATTTTTAAAGAGAACGCTGTGTATGTTGTCTGGAGTGTTTCATAAAAATTCTTGCTCGACTTAACTAAGTCTAGACTTACATGTATAAAATTATAAGTGTACAAAACGGAGACTTAAGTATGACTTAGTTAAGTCGAGCAATTAATAATTTTTATGAAACACTCTTTTGTTTGTTAGAATAGTACTGTTATTATTCCTTCATGCTTTCCGTCGTTTCAGATATAAGTTGCTTGCAAAATAAAAATGGCTTATTTCTGTCATGATGTATAAACATAATGAATTAAAAAGAATCCACCCCTGGTGGGGATCGAACCCACGAACTTCTGGTTAGAAGCCAGACGCGATAGTCCACTTCGCCACAGGGGCTGTGAATGTATGATGATTTATGGCAAGTGAAGAAAAACGAAGTTTCCTAGTTTGCCAATATTATAAAAGGCCTAAATATTTTTAATGTTGACTTTTAATGTAAAAATTGACAAATTCTTACGTTTCGTTTACTTTGAAGTTCATTTTTATAAATTACTGAGTCTATAGATGCCACTGTTCACTACTTTATACATATTTAAACATCTTATATATGATATTAAACGAAAAGTTGATTATTCCATTGTGTCTTATTTTTTCAGACACTAATCTAAGAAGATTCCTTACAATCTTACCTCTATGTCAAAAAATCCTATTACGTAGGGGTACCCTCCCCCTCCTTTGGGGTGTCCCGTAGAAATGCTGTGAAATAAAAACTAAAAGTCGCTAGGGATTCGTATTTTCAGGACTGATTGGAAATGGAGTAACTGATGGAGTACTTTTTCGTTTTTGTTTCAAGTTTTCAGCAACTGTCGTTCACCAGTTCTTCAGAAAACTCGGTTTTTCATTGTGCCCCATTACGACCCCCCCCCCCTTAAATTTCATCGGATCGAGTTCAAAATTTTACCTTAGATACTTAAGGTCATTCCGCAGGAGTAATTTTTTGGAATTTTATTTTAGACGTTTCTTTACCGAGTTATAGGGTTTTTTAATTGAAAAACTTGGTTTTTGAGTTATACATTGCCTGGTCGAGTTATAGAAAAAATACTAAAAACCGTTTCAAAAAACAAAGAAAACAGAATACAAAAGAAGATTTTTTGTTCAATCATGTATAGCTCACTTAACGGTTTCGCAGGACTGACATTTTCTTCGTAATAAAACACTATGACAGTTGTTTCATGTCTAAACGTTCGAAGAAATGTTTCACCGACTTGTAGATGTCAATGACTCGTGCTCTATACAAAAGTTGAGTTAAACAATAACACTATTATGATTCATATTATCAGTTACTCATATACTTAATGTAATCAATCACCTCATGTATTTTCGAATATTCAACATTGATACGATTTTCTTTTTGATAATTCAATTGCGTACAAAAAATAGAGGAGACAAAAAAAATCAAGTACAAAAATTGAAAAAGATAATCACCAAAGTACATAGATAAAATTTATGCAAGATTTTTTGTTGAAAATAAAACTAATCACCTTTATATAAAAGAGAATCAAAAATGTGGATGTACTACCATAAATTTAAAAAGAATTACACTATAAACAGAGTGATGAAATGTCAAATGGAAAAAATAAATAAATAATTTTACTGTTTAATCTATACCGCATTTTTATTTCACAAAAACAAAAGCAAAAATATGTATTTCATACTCATTGCCTAGAAAGAAATATCGAAGCTAACTCGGATTTTGTGAAAATGAACTAGCGGATAATTTCCTAATTTGCTATTCTATTATACAGATGTTTGACCATTGTGAAGATTTTTTCTTGGCATAAGAAGGCCTTCATCATCTTGATGATGTTGGTGGTGCATCAGATGTTCTTCTTCCTAAAGAGTAAAGAGAATAAAAGTAAAATTAATGTTCGTTTTTAAAAGTTTTATATTTTAGTCAATAATATATCCTATGCTGTGTTTAAACATGCGTAGCTGTTAATGATACTGCCACCAGTGAATTGAATTTCTAAGCAAAGCATATTACATAATATAGTGTTTCTGTTCCTCAAAATCTACTAATCATTAGCTAACCCAAATCGTTTAGATAATACTAAAATAATATGTCAGAGAAGAATTAAATTTAGTCTCACATTGAAACTATAGAGAGTAAAAGACTTTTTATTAGCATTTATTTCAAACATTGAAGAAATCCTCAGTTAATCCCATTGCGCGAAGAACAAAACATTAGAATGAGCAATTATAGACTCTACTCTTATAAACGATTTTATTAATAGACCAATAGAATACAAGCTAAATAATTTCATAAACCGATCAAACAGATGCTACTTGAAGAATTAATTTATGCAATCGATATGAATCCTATGATACGTAGTGTTCTGTCATTTCAATAGCGTATTCAAGAATCCAAGCGTCATGACCAAAAAAGATCATAAAATATTTTGACACGTCAAAATGAGAGGCAAAAGAAATTCAAAAGAATATATAATTATGCAAAGAGTATTAATGCATACATAAATTATACATGTAATCTAGATGTTAAACTTAAAAGCAGAAAATGTTCACCCCCACAAATACTATTTTTACATTATCATCTTCTGGATGCCCGATATTAAATGGAATTTTATCACTGGTAAATGTCACTGGTGGTGTTGAATATGGTGATGATGATTTCTGTTCCATTGCAAACAGCTATAATGAATTACTTTTTTTTAATACACAAAATCTATTCTACTAGAAGATGATATGTAACTTTCTAGAGTGCGGTTCGATGAGAAAAAAATCTAAATGATTTGAACAATAACCTATGAATACTTTCCAAATTTTTGTAAAGGTCTACTCTGATCTTCAAAATTCTAGTATTCTAACTGTTATTGCCATTTGTAGTTGTAATGATAGGTGGATAGAGTACAGTATTAGTCTTGAGCGTGAGTAGTTGTTCAAAAACGGTTAGAATCTTAAGTAGCGTTTCTTTGTCCGTAATGATCTACTCAATAACAAACATTGTAGCTGATCTACTAGCTCATATGTTTATATTACGAGGATATTACATACAAAATTCGAACCAATCTCCAGAAAGCGAAAAAAAAGCATTATTACTACTGAAAAACACATTTCATTTACAGAATTTTCCTCCTCGGATGCATCTTCTGTAACGACAATAAGCGGTGTTTTGTGTTCATTATTTTGATGAATAGGTAATTTGTTTATTTGTTCCTAAAAATATGAGATGCGAATGATGCAGCATATATTTTAGATTATTATCACATGCACACTTGATAGTAAACTGATAAGATCTTTTTTCAATCAATAGCAAGACAAAAAATAAGCTTTAGCTCATTCTTTGGAAGAATTTTTGCACCACTAAATCTGATATATTCATCTCGATATTTCTTTACACGGTCATGCACCAAACTCTTTCAAATGAAAAAAATATTTTTTAATGTATTGCCAAAAATGATTTTCCATGCAGCCTAGAATCTTATCCATCACCAAGACGTATCATTTTTTTTTCGATGATTCTCATATGTATATTTTTTTTTTCAAATTAAGTATATCTTTTTTAATAATATGTCACCTCTTGGATACTACGTAAATTTTTCAACGATGTGCTCCGATAGTCAAGCATCTCTTTCGATGAATATGCATCGATTGGAGGCTGAAAAATCTCCAATAATATGAACACTAAACAGATACAAAGTATAGCGTGAAACTCACTGTCATTATTTCTTTTTGATCAAAATCAAAATCGTCATCGCCCTTTGGTATATTATGAACATTTCGTACAGCTGACATTCGTCGAACACGTCCTACTTTTGTTCCCGGTAAAACATCATCTAACCAATAGAGTTCTTCTGGAGTAAATATATTATCCATTAATTTACGCACAAAACATGTCGCTAGTACCTTTAACGTAGTATTCAATATTTAGATATACTTAATCATCTATAGATAGATATTCTTACCAACACTGGAAATCCAATTGCAATTGTTTTAACACTTTTAACAGCGAACATTCCAGCTAAAGCCAAAATTTGAATTGCTGTAAAGAGATGAACACGCATAATCGTCACATGACGTAAATAGGGATAATCTGGCTGATATTTTGATGGCATAAATATCAATAATATACGATCGAAAATCTAAATCAAATCATGAATATTAATTAGATGTTAAAATTCAATTTACCTTTCTTACTTGCATGCCCCGTATAGCTGTAATGCCCATAAACATGAAAACACCGTAGAGTACAGGCATTGGAATGAACTAAAATAATAAATGTCATGAACAAATGACACTGCAATATGAACGAACATACGTTCAAAATTTTTGTAAAAAAAACACTTAGACCAGTCAGTATTGCCATCAGTAAGCCACTGACTCGTTGTTCACTATATCGAAAAACAGCAGTTAGCTTTATAGTGTTATATAATTGTATTTAAACCTACAGTATGCCTTCAAATTTTGGTTTTTCACCTGGTGCCGTATTTTCTGACATTATTTTCAATGCATTAACATGAGTAAGAGCAAGAACAGTTGCTGCCACAAACCATGGTAATCCCATTATTGATGAGAATAATATGGACATTGATAATATAAACAAATCCAAATGATAACCACTTTTTTTCTGAATAATAATCGTACATTTTATAACATGATTTTATCATCTAGATAAATATTTACTTTTAACTTGAATTCTTTTCGGTTAATAATGACAGCTGTTATTTGTTGATCCATAAAGATTAAAATTGTCGTTATCAATGCTGGTAGTATAGCAGCAGGTATTGTCCATATTGGATTTCTACCTGAATAAAATGGAATAATCCATCCTCGATCATTTGGTCGAGTTGGCTAAAATAAAGAATAATTTCATGATGATTGTATAATAATTAGAGAAAAACTTGTTCACAATTATTTTTCTATTTTAGATAATCGATTTTTTCTTATAAATTGAAATATAATTAGTCAATTGTCTCTTACTTTGAACTCTCGTGGTACGACAAGTTTCGGAGTTTCTAATCCTAAATAGGCGTCCCATCCTGACATTGCTACAATAGCAATTAATACAGCAAAATCACTAATACTTGTTCGAATCTAGAAGAGAAATAATGATCATGAATAATTTCTTTCAATTTATAATTGTCTTACTTTTGTTGGTAAAAATTGTGAATTACGAAATTCTTTGAGCACCATACAAATAAAAACGGTAAAAATAAATAATAAACACGAATAAAAGAAAATATCTGAATAATAATGTGGAGTTGAACAACCGGAACCAATTAGTGTACCGTTAATCTTGTTACATAACATTCGTGTTGTGGCATTTAATATTGTTGAATTTGTGTTAAATAAAAAATCATAATTACTACTGTTAGATATAAGCAATGCTGTTGTATTTGAGGGCACACATGAACAAGAATAATCAACGGGAAGATCTGGTCGATAATTAACCGGATATTGTTTCCTAATATTCATTGTTTCTCGAATGGCATCCAAGATAAAGATGAGTGCCACCAGTGAGGCAAAACAATCTTCTGTAAAACGTGTTATGTAACGTACAAGAAAACTCAAATTAAATATGACAAATATAACAAGAAATAGAAATACCCAAACACCAATCCATAAGCGAAATTCCAAAAAATCAAGATGAAAATCTCTAAACAACAAAATAAAATATACTTAAAACATATATCTTTCAACGCAGAAAGTGCACAGTTTTATTATCACTCACAATATGCAACGACTGTGACATTTTGAATAAAATAGAAAATACGCTTTTTTCCAGACTTTTTGGATGGTCTATACCTCTCGATACACAGGCTATTAAATATCAAAAGAGTTTTAATTTCACCTACTGAGGATCCTGAGAATACATTTATTTAAAATTGAGGCTAAGAATAAAGGGATATGAGGTAAAAATGTTGTTTAAATAAAATTAACCAGAAATGAAAATTGAATCCATACACATTATGAAATTTTGAGTTCCCATCTACTGATGAGTGAAAAAAGTTTGTGTTTTAGACTTAAACTCACGGAGAAAAAAAAAACAATTTTTCGAGCTAACAGCATTTTCCGTACAGTTATGCTCAGTATAACGACGAATCCCAATGAATCTCATCTGCTAAATGATTCAAACTTTCACAAAATATTCCTCTATATTTCCTACGTCTAAACTATTAGCACAAACGTTCCTGGACTTTGGTACTCCCTAAAAGAAAAAGGTATTTTAAAATACGGAAAATGGTATAACCATTTGAACCATATCATAACTGTTTAAACGTTTTTTACTTTTATCAGAAAATCCCATTTGGTATTTTTAGAATACAAAAAAGCCGTGATTTAAAAAACCCTGAATTGATTTGGTATTTTAAAATACCTGAAAGGTCTTTTTGTGACATGAAGAAACTTCAACCGTTTTTCAGAACAGAATTTAGCCGTATTTTAGAAAACGAAAATTAGTTATTTGATAAGAATAAGAAACTTTTAAACAGTTATGATATGATTCAAATAGTTATACTCTTTAAACGTTTTTCACGGATGATTATACCTTTTTTTTGCTTTTTCTCAAATGGGTTTTTTGAAATAACGTTTTTTTTAGAGTGTATAGATTTTCCAAAAACCCTTTGGTTTTCCAGTAAAATCCATTTTTCTCTACTCACGAAGCCGCTATAGAAGAATAATAAGGAGATATCTGAAATTAGCGTATAAAACTGCATCAAACCATGCATAAAGCAATAAGCTTTGAATGAAAAATATCCCAATGAAACTTTTTCGCTCTTCTGCAATTTCTGAAAGAATTAATCTTTTTCTGAATACGTTTTTTTTTCGTTTCTAAGGCTTGAAATGGTTGGAAAATGATAGTGATCAATAAAAAGAGATTTATTCGTAAGACATTTCTGATGTCTGCATTACAAGCCACAATTGTTCACTGTGCGTTCCCAGCGAGTCAAAAATAATAATTTTTGATAAAAATATCAATTCTGAGAAGAGTGAATTAAGACATAATCCCAAGTATCCCCTTTCAAATGTATTAATTTCTATTCCCTATAAAACATATTTTGGTGATTTTTCACGAAGTTTTCTGGAAGCATTGTGGAAATGTACTTATCATATGCTTTATAGTTGAAAAAAAGGATACTGAGAAAAAACGTTCATATATACAGTGGTCAACAAAACTGATCATACACCCCTCATATTAACTTATGATTGATATTTCTTCGAAACCAAATCACCTGTAAAGTTTAGAGTTTCGCTAAAATGTTTCAACTTTATTGTAGTTTATTTTCTTAAAATAGAAAATGCTCATGTCATATAGTCGTTGTGCTAGGTCAGGAAGAGTGAGATGGGTGGCTTTCTCTATTCAACAAAATCGGTCATACAGTTGAATGTTTCCACTTTTCACATAGCAGACTTTAGTCTTAATTTGACAAAACGAGCGTATTTTGTGCGGTTTTTCTCGCTCTTTTGACTCATATGTACTGCAGAATTTGAAACGAAAGAGCAGAAAAAATGGAAACAAAATACAAAACAGTCATTTTTTTCTCTTTTTTCGATAGGTTTTTGTAATGTTTGGGATAAAACATTTATATTTCCATGAGGAAACCTTTTCAAGGCTTAAAAACTTAAGCAGCTTTGCAGTTTTGCGTGGAGAATCGAACGAGCACGATTTGGAAAACAAAAATATCTTTTTCCATGAAAATATAAATATTTTATCCGAAGTATTACAAAAACCTATCGAAAAAAGAGAAAAAAATGACTGTTTTGTATTTCGTTTCCTTTTTCTCTGTTCTTTCGTTTCAAATTCTGCAGTTGGTATTACGTATGAGTCAAAAGAGCGAGAAAAACCGCACAAAATACGCTCGTTTTGTCAAATTAAGACTAAAGTCTGCTATGTGAAAAATGAAAAAATCCAACTGTATGATTAATTTTGTTAATCACTGTACATACGCATATACGGTGCATGTGCACATGAGAATCCATGATCGAAAACCTATAGAAAGCGCGACTAAGTTTTTACGGCCGAATCAAATCAAGTTCTTTTTAAGAGAAAAAAAGTATTTTGCGTTTTTTTCGAAGTGTTGTTTTCCTTGATGTCACCATCCGGCAGACTTTTTTCTGTAACGAAACGTTAGAATGGACTTTTTTAAGGCGTACCGCACATATCCATTAGATTCGCCATGACCGATAACCTCTAGAAAAGTATCAACAAATTATTTAACGCTCAAATAGTTTTCAAGTAAAATGCATTTCACACAATCAAAACTTATTACTTATTTTGCACTGGTTTGTGCATAGCTGCTTTCTGAGAGTGGAAATCTGTCGGACAGTACATGCCCCATTTTGACCCTTACACAAATTGAATCTTCAAAGGTAGCTAGAACTTTATCGTAACTATTCCTCACATGACTAACATTCCTAGAAAGTTTGGTCTAGATCGTGCTTATAGTTACCGAGCTACGTTTCTGGCTTCGAATGGACGTTAATAATTATAGAGATCTGTCTCTCCTTGAGCAAATGAGTATGTCATTCATCTCATACTAGAAGAGAGATGGTCTATTATTTCGATCTACTGCGTTCTTTTAACTAAAACTTTACAAAGCCAGTTTTAGCACTTTCCAATTAACTAAACTGTAATCAGTTAATCTGGTGCGTAAATCATATTACTGTCGGAACTTCTGATACCTAATTGTCAGCTCAAAGCTATAATTTAGGGCTTTTCGTGTAAATTCTATAACTTTGCAAAGAAAGATCGTGTAGAGTTGGGAGATATCTCATTTTAATCAGAAATGTGTGGTCTACAATCATGCTTCATTAAGAATGGTTTTGGTTATCTTTTAGAGTTTTTGAAAACCTGATTTTCCAAAAAACCGGGCCTTCGTACTGTTAAGGGCAGCCCCCATAATCATATTCGGAATCAGCATGGTCGATAACCTATAACCCACTAGATTTCGATCAAAAAGCGTTTTATCACCTCGAGAGGTTCCCTCGTAAGTACAACGTTTTAATCGTCCGCCAATATGCAATTTTCATTTTATAGCCGATATGTTGATATTTTTGTGAAAAAATTTACCTCATCATCAAAAAAGAATTAATCGCAATAAAACATGAATGCTTCGAACGTATAAAGTTTATCAAATATACTTTTTTTACTTTTATTTCGATCTACATGCCAAATGTACCGAAATAAAGTAACAGAGTACGTAAGGGATGTCAGTCATTTACAAGCATATCTAAATTTAGAACTAGAAAGAATATAGTTTTACTATCACGAATAAACGGCAACGAGTAATAGTATGAGTCAACGCATGAATAATTTAGTTGTTATAAACATTATTAGGAAACAACACGACTGTATTCTTGTGAATTAAAGAGAATCTTAGAGATATATATGTTCTTACTTGCACAAGATTTTTAAAATTCTTTCTAATATTAACATTGGTCCAGTTGCTGATAAAATATTCAATGGCTGTCCGGAAAACAAAGCATATATTATACCGCAAACAGAACCAGCTAGAATGCATTCCATAGTAGCCTAAAGGAAAAACACGTTTTTAGTGTAGAAATGAGAAAACAGCAAACGGTTGTTGTTACCATATAATTGTCTGTTGCTGCACCTAACATGCCCCCAAACGCCACTACCGAACATAAGCAAACGAGATATAAATATAACGTTGTCGCGAGACACTGTAAACTGGCACAATCTGTAAAATCGGATATATAATAAGGTATTTTATTACGTAGATCCATTATTAAACCGTGAAATGGTCTTAAAATTAAGAACAACACGAAAGTTTATGAAATATCAATTGCATTTGAAAGTTTAATAATTACGTTTTTGATGCTATTAGATTTGGATCTGTATGTGGTGTTAGATCAAGTACTTCAACATGTTCACCTTTCTCTTCTGGCGCTTGTCTTTGTTGCTAAATTTATCCGAAAATCTACTTTATTGAGAATCACATGAGTCTTTTCTTTCTATTTTTACTTTGCTCATATATTGTTCTGGTGGTTCAATTCTAATTGATGGATCCCATTCGCTGTCAAGAGTAAATGCAGATTGGACTAACAATTGACTTTGTGATCATAGCATACCTGGGCGGAATTACGTAGGTGTCGTTCATAAATCTGTCCAACATTTGTAATATTTCCTCAGAATCTTTTGACAAATAGGCAAATTCGCGACAAATCTGTTATGAACTAGATAAAATCAATTTTTTTGTTTATTTTACTCCATTGTAATCTCGCTTACGTCGTCGGTAAGTACAGTGGCCATTGCTCTTCCTACTTGAAGTAATTGTCGTTCAGTTTCTTCGGAACCAATTATTAATACGATAAAACGTGAATGTAATTTAAGCTCTAGCAAACCAGGCAATTCAATGGCATTGTCCAAACGTACAAATGCAATTGTTGTTTCAGTGACAAAATCAACTGGACAAATTAGAATACTCGCACCTTCTGATCTACGATTTAATTTTCGTTGTAATTTCACATTATATTCCTATAAAACAGTAACCATAATGTATAATAAATACAATTATTTGGTTTATACAAAATTTAAGCGTTCATGTTTTAGTACATCATGCAGCTAGATAGCTCAAAAATGAGAGGAAACTATATTTTTAATTGAAGTTTACTCAAACTGCCTACTTCACATAAGCATTTTGTTAGTTCTTTGAAAAGTATCCGAAACTTATTAATTATTCGCTATTAGCTTATTCAAATACATATGTATAGAACAAATCACATGGTCAGAGCTGCCGACAACAACTTCGCTTAGTCTTCTAAATAAACTACTGTCAGATTTTAACCAATTCTAGAAAATAAAAACAAATAAATTTAGAAAAACACTCAGCATGATTGCCAAATAAACGTTGAAAGACTCTTAACAGTGGACCCTTTTAATCAGAGATTGTCAAATCTTTTGAATAACTATGGTAAATATCTTACTTTGCTGTGATCGGTATGAATCGATTGATCGTCTGATTCCGATACCATGTCGTTTGTACTGGGTTTTTTACTAAGTAAACGAGGCGCTGACATTGCAAGCATCGATTCTGATAGATCATCTTCTATTGCAATAAAAGTATAAATACGATGTTTCTAACTTATGATAATCTACTCTACCTCGTCCTGATAGATTGTTTATAATAAACGAAGCACTTGGTTGAAGGCCAGCTTTGGATAGACTAACTAAACTTGCCGTCTTTGTAACAGAACGTTTTTCATGATGATGAAAATGAGGTAAACCTAATATCGATGTTAATTTTTGTGCACTCGTTACATTATTGAAATATTGATTATCTACTAATGCTTGGGCAACAACCTCTATTAAATAAAATTAGAGATTAGACAATAATTTTATCTCAATTCTTAATACTCGTACGTGCTAAACTTGGAAAATCTGGTACTGTCAAATTCAATATAATAACACTACGATCAGATGTGAGATATTTTTTCAAGTCTAGAAGAGCTGTTTGCATTAATGTTGCCACATGTGGTTTTGACCATCTTCCTAATACACTTTCAGCTATTTCTTCAAATCTTACCCATCTAAATGAGAATAAAATTATTGCTATAAGATTAATTTTAAAAATTCAAATTTAATATTACCTAGCTTTTTCTTTCCAATACGAATATTCTGTTTCTGTTTTTCGTAGTATATCCAGTTGACAAAATAATTGTGGTACATCATCTTCAGCAACCCCTAGTTTGAATACTTGCCGATTTGGCTAAGAAAAAAAATGAAATAAAAAATCATTGAAAGAAGAAAGGTAGAAATACATAGAGAAAATAAAATTATCCACCAAATAGATTAATTTCAAGATCACTTTCTTCCGAAAGATAGAGAATAATATCGATATACCTTGATAATGGCTAATAATGATAGTGTTGATCCCCCCAAATGATTCTTATCTAGTGTTTCAGGACGTTCGATATCCAGAAAATCCGGCATATAAATTAGTATATGGAAAAGGCGTTAATGACTTTCTTTAAGCATACTTCAAATTACATATATTCTATTTCAAACATTTGATATTCAAATATATTATTGACAAAAAATTTTATTTTTATTTTTACCACCAATCTGTCGAATCAAACGTGTCATTTTCTTTCTTTTTTTGTTGTTTTATTTGTTTCTCTTTCTCTCTCTTTCTCTTTTTGATTTTATTTGCTCTAAATAATGATTATTTTTCGCATAAATGTAGTTTCTGATACCGAAGAGTATCGTGTGCGTATACATTTTATTGATCAATTAATGAATTTTAAAAAATAGTTTTAATATTAAAAATAAAAATAAAAAGTACTATCTAAATGAGTCTCATGCGAACTGATAGAATGAATTTTTATTATTCAATAGCTAAAATCCGATTTTAATACAAAGAGTATGCATATCAAATCAATGCTACTTGTATAAACATCTAATAAAATAAACATCGTTACGGTTCAAATAGACAATAATATATAATGTCTCTATCTAATATTCTTTTAGTACAAATTTTGTAAAAATAAATCAGACCTTTTCTGAACTACATTAGAATAACCAGTTTTCTTTGTTAAGAATACGATATTCCATTTATATTTGATCATAAAAGTATTACAAAATCAATATAACTTTAGTGTAAAGCTTCACAGTACAAATGTGTAAAATTTCAATAATAAACAGCTTCCTGATCAATCATCAGATCTTGTTTAAACAAAACTACATGATTGACATGACAAGCTGTCAGAGCAGTTTTTCCTGCAAACAATTATTTCTTTATGGAAGAGGTCGTGTGCATTCAGCACTTAATAAAAAATGATTACTTGTGAAAGTTAACACGAATTTAGAATATTGTAGAAATAATATTCAGTACACTTAGAGAGAGAGAGAGTAACGTTTGAAAATCTCAGTGCACCACTATGTCCCTCAAAAACTTTTAATATAATATTTTTGCTTTACACAATACCATGTACGAATTTTTTTGTATGAATTCTCTTGTCTTCAAGAACATAAAGATTATGTAACTGCTTGTAATGAATTTGAATAAAACGTTGTACAGTTAAGCTAGACATTTTTATAAGATAGACAAAACTTTTAATAGGTCTAGAAAATTGCTTCAGAATTAAAATCGATTGCAACTCTTGCCAGAATATATTAAAGCTACGAAAATTTGATTTATCAAAGATACAAGTTAGATCTCTTTAAATGTAGTCTTACGTTTCTGAAGATGTGAATTTTTGATTGCTTAATTTGATGAAGGTCAAATTTTACTGAGAGTCAACTCTAGAGCTGATAGTTTTTTCCGATTAGAGTGAGCGTTAAGTTGACTTTCCGAGAACGTCATTTAAAGTATCAACTAGAACAATTCCATGAAAAGAGCTAATTCTTGTTTTTATCAAAGGCAAGACCCAATGAAGTTTTATCAATTTGTTTGACGCTCAGACCTATTGAGTCTTCTAGTTAAGGTTGAAACAAAATCTCTATAAATTCCGTCAACAACGTTAACCATTGTAGAAAAAGAAGATAACAAAACGCACTAATTGATAGGTACATTCATATTTGATTTTTTTCTCAACTTTAATTTTCATTCCCAATCATTAGGGCGTCAGGGTTATTAAAATCATACACGTATGCGATCAAGGTGCGTAATGACTATTAAGTTATAGAAGTAAAAGAAAACGGTTTAACACTATATTTTATGCCTTTTAGCATTTTTCAATCAGAAGTTATCAATAACTGTCAAGAAAAACTAAAGGAAGTTTTTTTTACTGTTTATCAGATATACTCCCTAATACCTTTTTGTCATAATCGACAATAAACACTCGTGTACTGTTTGATTTTCTAATGTACACTTTATCTTGTTGTAGTTTTATTCATTTATACGTAGTTGACATGCTAATGAAGCTATGAATAGAAACACCGAATAAGTGAATAAAATGACCACGATAGTGTATGTAATGCAAGAAAAAGTTTTTATCAGTCAATACATTCTTTTTAGAAGAAAATGATATTTTTTCAATGAAGAAAGACACTTCGTCATTCACCCAAATATACATACTGACAGAGAAAAAATTATTCTACGCAAGTCACACTATAAAAATAAATGTGTCCTAAAAAAAGGACGCAAAAAACATACATGAAATGGACACATTTTTCAGGTACATTCAGAACTGTCTTATCCTAACGAGTATAATGTGTCCTTGAATGTATCTGAAAAATATGTTTATTTCATGTGAATTTTTCCGCATTATGTTAATCAATAATAATTTATAAGTCGCTTATATAGGCAAACTATCAGCAAAATAAAATAGATGAAGAAAATTCATGTGTACCATAGAATTGTGCTACAGCATCCCATGAAAATGAAGGTACATGGAGTAGATGGACACTTCTAAATGTAGTCTGCTGCACAATACTTACAATTCTCAAAACGCATTTTCATTAGGACACGTTCAAATGCAAATTTTTTTACACTATACAATCGGCACTCAAGACAAAAGAATGTTTTTTAACAAATCTATTTAGATGAAGAAGAATTAGACATACGACAAACAAATGTAATCTACGATGCAAAAGTAATTGGACAAATGTCGAGCATTATTCTGTATGTTCCTGATGTGCTGGAAAGTTAATTATTTTTCCATTGGAAAGAGCAAAGTCACTTTTCAACCAAAAATCGCCAAGTTTTTGAATAGTTTCAGAAAAGCAGTTAATTAGACTTTATTAATGATTTTCAGATACTGAAAAAAGCTTTGTTCTTTTGCTAAAACACAATTTTCGAAACAGCATTCAATCTTTTACTAATTCACATTAGTGTTAGCCTTTACTGACATCGTTTGTGCTATGAATAAAACAGATTTTCTCGATGTTTTATCTTTCTGGTGTAAAGCAATATTTTTTACCAAAACAAAGTTTTATATACGCTTTTATTACTATCAACGAATTACTGGAAGATTTTCGAAAGTAGAACGATCGATAGAGTTTTGCGCGTGCTACATCCTCATCTATTGGACTTTCAAAAAAGGTTTCTCTTTCCGGCTATAGTGAAGAATTAAAGAAAAAGGTACTTTATAAAAGTTTTTTGGCAATGCTTGAGATTCAAATTTTTTCTCACTTAAAGTCAGTCACAAAAAGTTTGATTTTCTATGTTTTTTGAAGATCAGACTTTGCTCTTTCCAACGGAAAAATAATTAACTTCCCAGCACATCAGGAAAATATAGAAATAATGCTCGACATTTGTCCAATTACTTTTGCATCGTAGATTAGTCAGTGATACAACAGTCAATCGAAATAATACTCGATCAAATGCATCAAAAGGTGCTGATGTTTTACGATGTTTTGACACAGTTCCAAAGCGTTTCTCGCTTATAAATTGCAAGCCCATGTCGCACTTTTTTTTGTAATACCGCCGGTTAACGATCAGTCTATAGATTACCGCTGGTTAATCGTACCGTTCGGTATAACTACCGGCTTAGCGGCGGTTTTTTCTTCTACCGGCGGTTACCGCACGGTAGTTTTCAGATCGTGGTACAAGAAAAAACCGTCGGTAAACTGTTTAGAAACAATCACCTTCTTGTTTTGCGGTTGGCGGTCTATAAGAAACGCAGAAAAGTCAAATACTTTGATTTTTTTTCAGATTAAACTTTCTCTTTCAGATTACAGAGACTCGTCGAAGTTTGCACTTCGACTTGAGTCAAATTTGTCCCGTTCGGGTACCTCATTGGGCTGCATGCGCACTGCAAAAAAAAAAACAAAGAAAAGAAAGCTGAGAACTAGATTCGAACTATTTGAACTCCTATTGAAACTCCTGTACTATTTGCTCACACTGATAAAATACCGGTTGATTATCGCTGGTACAACCGACCGATATACCGCGTGGTTCGGTAGACCGTGCGGTAATTCCAGTTCCGCTAATGGTATACCGGGGAATGTAACAGACTGGTACAGAAGTCGTAACCGGTTTTGATGACATGGGAGAAATAAACACTTTTGTTTGTCTATATAAAAGAGTTGGAAAAGAGAATTATCGTTATATCTTCATTATACTTAGTCCATTATAATCACAATAAGAGAAGATATCGTCAAAGAAGTTCTGTTAGAAAAAATATAAATAACAAACAAAATTGATTAAACTTACCTTACCTCTATATGGTGATGGTGATGTATCATATCGGTGTCGCTGTGCCGTCTGTCTGGCCCGTCTAAACAAATAAAAAATGAATTATATTCAAACAGATAAATAGGTAGAAAACTGTTTAACAAATATCTTAAAATATTAATTATCTATCGAAAGATATTTTATATGTAACAGCGTTAACGTGTGACGAATAGCATAAAGTTTATTTTTTTATTATATTTATAGTTTATAACAAGTAAACAAGGCATACTTTACAATTTATGAATGATCAATTAGAAGTGAATTGAAACTCTAATGTATTTTAGCCACAAAGTGTTTAAAAAATACATATACAGAAAATAAATTATCTACTTAAAAAATGGTGTAGTATGAGCCAATAATTGGAGTGATAAGGTGTTTGCATATCACCGACAGAAAAATAAAATTCATTTAGAGTTGCGGAAAAGTGCTTTTTCATATTTCAGCACACTTGATAACTCGGAAGATTTTCTCTTTCTGGCAAATTTTGGCCAAAAGTTTAAGAAAATGTTTCAAATAAAATGGTAAAAAAGTTTTCATAGAAAAATAATACAAAAAATTTAAAAATTTTCCTAAACTTTTGGCCAAAATTTGCCAGAAACAGAAAATCTTTTGGATTATTAAGTGTGCTGAAATATGAAAAAGCACTTTTCCACAACTCTAAATGAACTTTATTTTTCTGTCGGTGATATGATTATCGTTTAGCTCATGCAAAGCAGTGAACCTCTGAAAGTATAGATAATACAATATCTTTGAACAACGTATTTCAATTCTAAATATAATTCGTTTTTTGATCTCTAAATCATTGATCAAAAAAAGAAAACATTGATAATTTTCTACATTATTTATACGTCAAATTTCACTACTAACTCAACTAGTGACAATAATTTTCGGCAACTATTTAAAAATTCTATTAAATGTTCTCTGATGAAGGTCAGATTGACTGAGAAAGCAAAATAATTATTTAGAATTATTATTTTTTTACTTACTCAGGATTATGTTTCATTGTTGAAACCAAAAAAAGTCTGAAAAAACGTTAAGATTATGTACTGCAGGTACAATAACCCTGTAAACATATAATTTTTAGAACAATTGTATAGAACAAACAGAAGTATATAAAATTACGTTTTAATGTCGTTCACCTGCTAATCGAAATAAAACTCTGTCTATTTTCTCATAACTCACCACCATAAGACAAGATCGAGATTAATGAGATACCACTACGTTTTACAAAATAGCTTGTTGTTTTTCTCTTTTTTTTTCTTTTTGAAAAAGTTCTACTTTTGACATTTAAGATAAATTATTACATATTAACCAAGACAAGGTTACACTGAAGGTCACTAAGCTACATGTCTTTTCATATTGAAAGTTGGTCTCGCCATTAAACGTTAATTTAAAATTTCTTTTTGTTTACTTAATCGCAACGACATTTGAGTTATCAACACTTCATTGGAAAAAAGATTTTATTTTCATTATGAAATATACACTACACAAAATGATTGATTTACCACAATTTATTAACAACTGACTATAAGTACAAGATGGCAGTTAAGAATATAAACGGTATAATCTTTTTTTTGACTAAAACGATAAGTGAATACAATTATTGAGTAGCCAATCTTCAAATAACGTTTATAGATATATCCCGTCAGTTTTAAACGTGGTGTACAAGCCTTACTATAAAAAAATTCAAAATCATAATACCTTGGTAATGATGTTTGTGAAAAATAATTTTTAAACACTAGAGTTGTCCATAGTATAGAAAACCACGAACCTTATCGTTACTAATGTTATCACAGTACAATAGTTCGAATGAATGAATAAATTGGAATCCTAAACTGACAACTGTCGTCGTCAATAGCAAAATAAAATTGTTTTCTTTGATACTATTTATTGTCGTATTACAGCGGCCAGTTAATACAAGAAAAAAATGTTCTTTTGTACTTGATAGTTATTAATTAATCGAATGTGATGTATCATGATCATCAACATTACTAAAATGTCAATCTGTTTGTCTTCAAATATTAGCACAAGAAAGAAAATTTGCGTTCAATTTAGTACAAGAGAAAAAAAGTAATATTTTATTATGTTCTGAGCTTATGATTTTACAGTGTTCCGCAAAAGTAGGGCTCCTGTGTAACTCAAGAACCATGATGGCTAGGGACTTCTAATTTTGTGTGATTATAGCTGAGCTACCGAATACTAATCACCCACAAGGTTTAGGCCTCTTTTACTGGATGGTTCATGAGATATAAGCGTTTCACTTCTTTTCCGTAAAATGCTAATATCTCCTGAACCAAGAAAGATGAAAACGTTTTCTTTTTACTAAAATGTAATTCTTATTCTCCTCTCTATCTACGATATGAATTTAAAGAGGAAGCGGCTAATGGATACTGAAATACAGTTATTTTACTATCGAGATTCCTGAAACTAAGGTCCCTTCCAAAAAAATTCATAATTCATTATAGAAACATCAATTTGACTTCAGACTCGCAGTAAATACTCTTCGGCGACTATAGACTATTCAGTCAAAGTATGAAGGTTAACTATTGTGTAATGCTGAAAATTCATTGAGAATGAGCACCCACTATTGAAACATACGTAGGGCAGAAAGAGTGAGGAAATAAGGGTCGCTCCTTCTACTATAGAATCTGTATTCAATGTACATCATAATCGTGAAAAAATAATCATAGAAACCTATGGTTCCGAAAAACATATGTGAAACTTTTGTTAGAAAGATTACACACTCACCATTAGCCTAGAGAGAAAATTTTCAATAAAATGTTTTTGTTCGGAAACCGAATGTTAAGTATGCTATTCGACTCAGTTTTGTCTACTGATTATCCGCCTGACTAAAATCCCTTAGAAAACCCCCATAGGATTTTTTTCTTCTCTTTTCATCAACATAAAAAGGTTATTTGTATTTAACTGTTGTTACTGTCTTGTAAGAAAACCGATGCTCATTTAGGAATAAATTTAAATGAATTGAATATTAGATTGTATAGCATAAAACACCATAAATCTGATCTTTGTTAAACAGTATGGAAAACAAATAAATGTACGGGATGGAAGACAGCATGGAAAACAAATAATACGGGCTCTGTTCTTCTGTTATTGTTTAACAACAATCAGTTCGACTGTAATAGACAAATAGAAAAAAAATAATATATGCGCATGAACATAGCGATTTTTATCGCTATGTTCATGCGCATTTCCACAAATATTTACTATTTATAAACTCACAGTTTTTACACAAGGAACGATCTACTTATGAGAGTATGAAAAATACAAAATATTCACATAATTACCAAATTTAAAAAACTGATGAGACGAAGAAAAGATCTTTCCTCGAACAACATTGTATTTCGGCACATATTAAATATTATTTTATATAAATGAATGATTTTGAGCTTAAAATCTCTCTATTTCGACCAGAAATTATGAAGACCTGTTTATATTCGTCGCTCCATTCGAACTTTGAGAGCACACGAAGCGTTCCGGGTATTTACGTATAGTGAAATAGAGTCATATATGTTCTAAGAGTCGATACGATACATCAACTTCCAAACACCCGATCAAACAGGCGTGCAAAGTATAGGTTGCGGTTCACACCGTTCATAATTCCTGCTCCTCAAACTTCGTTAAGCTCTAATTTTGCTTTACCAAACGCTCTACAAGAATTTTCTACACGAAAAAGGAAGCAAAAATCTACTATTGATTGTATGTTCGGCTTTTTCCAAAGATGATTGTCAAGCGACACAAATTACAAAAAATGTATTCAAATGTTAAATCAATTTTAGTGAAAAAGTGATCAAAAAGGAACCATCTGAGAAATGCCTGCAATTTTTCAAGCAGAAAGAGTCAATAACTAAAATTTTTACCATTAGCAGCTGATATTGAGGACTATATTCTAAATGTTCTAAAGTTCTAACTGACAAGGACTCGCACAAACTACACTTATTCGTAACATTCTTAAAAAAAAGAGGAGAACAAGACGTTTTTTATTCTAAAATAATTTCAAAAACAATCGAAGTTACTTACAAGGTGCCAGGCTTAAACTATTTCGTTTGGTTCGAAGTTTGTTTATAAGAACCTGAGACATAATTACTAGTGAAAATTAAAGTTTACTTTTTACTCTTAAAAGATATTTCTGTAAGTACCATCAGAAAACAGATTAGTAAGACCATACAAAAACGTGTCAAAAGCAGCCATATTTTCTTTTGAAACTATGCGAATAAAAACAGATGCTTTTTGGAGGACATTTCAGTGCTCATGAATAAGAAAAAAATTGTATAGTTATGCCCCATATCGCATTCCAAAACGACTTTTATTAGCAAGTAAAAGAACAAACTACATATTTACCATATCTTTTGAATATAGGTAACATCATGCTCAGACGGCACAGACCCTACTTCTTTCATCTTGTTATTCTAATGTCAAGACAAACCAACCGTTAAAGATGTTTTTTTTGGTACTATAGAATTTGCTGAGAAAAAATTACGGCCAGGTAGATGTTACTTATATTTCTCTCACGCTTTTTGCGTTTTGTTCATTTTATGCAGCAATAATTCGACATACAGTGAAGACTTAAATGTGAAAAGAGAGAGAAAATCTGTTGCATCTTTACTGCAGTGAAGAAAATATCAAGTTTCCCTGGAATCCTTGATCATCCAAAACCTCACTGTGGTGAATAGTTGACAAGATGTATTTGTATAAACGTGGCTCGTCAAACGAACTCGTTTCATCTTTTTGTAGACATTCCTAAAAATCTGTGGAAAGATTAGTAAACTAACCTGGTCTTCGCTAGTTGTATAAAACTACACTTTATCTGTATCTAAATAAATAAATAAATCCCAATGATGAAACTATTCTTTTATTGACGGAAACGAAATGTTGACATCGGAAACAGTATAAAATGGTGTGATAAATAAGTTATCAAGCAATACAAATCAGTTTAATATTATTAGCCTAGATACAACTTTCTGACTATAACTCAAAGTTATTAATTTCATTACTAAGAATAAATTTCAGATATTTGAATAACTGTCAGATACTTCCATCTGTTCATACCAGCATATCTTTGAGAGTGCAGTTTGGTATAAACTAACTGAATAGTCAAGAATAACTGACAGCTTAACCTGATCAGTGACAACCTATCTGCTCAGGTAAAATTAGCATAGCGCGAAAAGACAATGTATGTTATGTTACTTTTTTTAGATTATACTATGTGTAATAAGTTATTACTATTGTACTACGCACCCTATTACTGTCTATTGCAAACGCAATGTATTTTCACTCTATTGCCTTCTTCTATTTCATCTTGAAGCGTCAAATTCAGCTTAAATGTTGTCCGTTTTATGTAACCTGTAATTAGAGTTTCTTTTTTCTCGCATATACATTTACCTTCTTCATGATATATGAATGTAGGTATACAAATACAAGAGAGAGAGAGATGCAGAGTCTTAGCCTCTTTTTAAATTGAAAAATGGAATAATTTCAAAACTTTTGAAGATTTTTGTCAATCGTTCTCTGTTATCGTCAGAGCAACTAACGCAGCATTTGTTCTGCTTGAAATATCACAGATAATTTTATACTTTTACAATTAATTTATCTGAATTAGTACATGATATTTTAGATGTTTTGTACACATTTTTTCAATATGTACATAGTTTCTGCCGAGTGAATAGCAATTGAATAATACACATAATAATATATTTCAATGTTGAGAAATAGAATTCGACGAAACGCGATAGTTCATGTCCTTACACACATGACAGTTTCTATTAGTTTCTCAAAAAACTTGCTGTTGGCACTGTCATCGTAAAATATATTTTTGCTAAGAAAATCAACATAAAATATGAAGAATAATTGGGCTTATATGGAGCTGCTCTGTAAAAAAAGGTTTGTGTACGAAACCTAAAAGAGTATAGAGAAGTCCAACCACTTCTAAACCCTTTTAGGTTTCGTAGAAGAAAAGGTACGGTACGAAACCGTTTAAGTGCATAAATTCTATTAGTTTTTATTCTAAAATTTTTTTTCTCTGAGTAAGTGGATCATTTCAACAGTTAAAAGGGTTTAAAAATGGTTGCACTTCGCTATATCCTTTCAGGTTTTGTACACAAACCTTTTATCTTTTGGAGAGTGGAGGAGATATTAAACAACATTGTAAAGTGTTCGTATTCTCTCAGAGGCAAATTTCAGATCTTAAATTTTCTGTGTGTAATAAAATGCGAAAGTACATAACTATTTTTGTGCTTCAGTATCTATTAATCACAGTAAAGCATGTATAGAAGAATGGTAATCTTCATTGTTTCTCTTTTTTGTTCGATTCTAGTATGTGAGTGCATGCTAACACGCGGTACAGCAGTTTCGGACAACCGAATGAAGGCAAAATAGTCCACATTCAAAGGATTTTCTTTAAAGTACGCATCACAGATGTGATGATTACACATTTACAAGACAAGTGAGATTTGTACCTTACTAGAACGTTACATTTGATAAATATTGTTTGACACACAAGCATAGAATCAGAATTCGTGCACAAATGCAACAGGTTGAATTTATATATACACTTTTTTTAAGAAAAAGTTGTGCAAATAGTGTGTTCATCTATCATAAACATGGGCTTTTTTTAGTGATACTATTCTGAAAGACAGAAGTATTGGAGTGATTTATTGAAAGGTATCATAGCAATTTGGATTGGTATTAATAATTTATTTTGGGTTAAATCAACTAGTCAGTAAAAAACTCCATATAAAAACAAGAAAATTGATTAACAAAAAATATATGTACACTTAGTTTTTTTAAAAAAAGGCATTTACTGTTCAAGACACACAAATAACTGGAAGTATTGCACGATCAAACATTTCACATACTCAGCAACAAAAACTCTCTATAAAAAACAATAGCAAGAAAATCATCCTACTCTGTAATTATTCTCTTGAGGATAACTTTCGTCGAATAATCTGCACAAAAAATGATGTTGTCAGTAATTGATACTTGCTAGGCAGGCACTACTTCTTTTTTGAAGATTATTGGAAAAAAATGTCTAGTTCTAAGACTATTTGTTTTCAATGTTTTTTGCATACATAGAATTGTTCGATAAGTTTTTCTCTACAAAATAAGGCATAATGAAGTTTGTATTTGCATTTGAGAAGGCCAGAACACGATTCACCAATTTCGACCAATTCCAATTTCAATTCCAGTTTTTAAAAAATAGTCTATAATGTTTAGTCTAATGCTAACGCAAATTTCCAAATAGCGTTTGTCGAGAAAAGTCGACGCTACAATTGTACATTGCGGATAAAAATTGGTAACAAATGATTTGTGAGATACAATTGTTTTCGCAGATACACCAAAAAAACAATTCTAGAATTGGTGCGTACCTAATACTTGCAATGGGCTTTTTTATTTTTTATTTTTATTTTGTGTTTGTGTTGTGGTTGTCGACTTATATAGCGGTGTCGTCGGTGCTACAGAAACAAGGCTAGTCACCGTTTGTCTTCTGTATCTTAATGGCGGACTATTTGGCGTCCGTACCATTACTGTTTGCTGATTATGTTTTATTATATTACCGCTACCATTACCACTATCATTTTGTTGTTGGACCATTTGTTGTCTACTTTGTAAAGATGATGCTCGACCTGACTGATTGGAATGATGTCGACGATTGTTCTGTTGCTGTTTTGATATTGTTGGTGATTTTCGAACATCGTTCTGTTTGTCTACTAATAATCGTTTTGTAGCCGAGTTTAATTTGGTGCCTGATTGTTTACTATTCGTTGATATTGATGTCTCATTCAGTTTCTTTGATATTAAAGTCGAATTATCATTTGTATCGTGTGACGCTTTATCTTGTGAATTACGTGATTCTATTTCATCGAGTAAACGTTCTTCTGCTTCTTTCAAATTATTCTTCATGTCGTCAACATCATCGGCTGTAGCTGAGGATGACAAAGGTGAAGAATTTGCCGATAAGCTCGAAGAAAATATTTTCATTGTGCTAAATGAACGGATTTTATCCAATTGCAGTTGTCCTTCCGTGGCTAAATCATGAAGCGTTCGGTTTCTGTCTGATGCCAGACGATCCATCATTTTTTGTAATTTCATTATATAATGCCGATCGTATGGCAAACGTAGAATAGTTTTTGTTTCAACTAATAATGAAATCAAATTTAATCTTACGCTCAACACGGGATCCAAGTGCAAATTGAAAATGGAGTTAAGAATATAATCTTTAAAAAATTTTCTCGAATAATGAATTAAGATGCGACGACAAACATTTATGTACATAATTCGCCATTTATAACAAGGATTGGATAATAGTTCTGAAACGAAACATCATTTAGAAAAAAATGAACCATTTCGTTCAATATTACGAACTTAATCCTAGTATAGTAGTCAGATTGAAGTACACTCGAAAAAAAGTTGTTCTTCAGGTTTTCAAAGAACAGAAAAATCAATAGGAACTTTGTTTTTCATTTGTCTCAAATAGGGAACTCAAAATTTGTTTTTCATTTCCCAAAGAACAAATTTTGAGTTCTTGAGAGCTGAAGAACAGAATTTGAGTTCCCTATTTGAGACAAATGAAAAACAAAGTTCCTATTGATTTTTCTGTTCTTTGAAAACCTGAAGAACAACTTTTTTTTAGAGTGTAGTCAATAAAAGTACTGTCTCAGTTTATTAAAACTCCACAAATCATAGTTTTTAATACCTGTTTCCAATCTTTCAATACCAATAGTACGCAACGAAGAACGTGGAATTTTTCGTAACAATTGTACAAAAGTGTCAGCTGCTGTTTCTCCAACAGGAATTTGTGTCTGTAAAACAAAAACAAAAAGAATGCTTTAAAAAACATTATTACTGTGAATACTTCGTTCTTACACTAAAGATTCTCGAATAAACATGTGAAAGGATTTTTGATATAATTTGGTCGGTTGACAAAAGCCATGGTAGTTTTGTGAATGAATTCACAACATAAATCATTGATCTCCACGAATATGTATTGAAAATTTTTTGTTCATAGTCTAACAAACGACTGATAAATAAATCTGAATCATCAATCTAGAATTACTATACTACTTGGCATATCAGTTATGAAGATAGTAAATTTTACTTACAAAGGAGGTATCACTAATGCCATCGCATCGCGAATACAAAGTAAGTATATCATTGAGACATTTAGCTAATTGAAATATAACCTGAAATATTACAGATGTAAATAATATGCTGACATCATTGTTTCAAAGTTACCTCATTAGAATCATCTTGCAAAAGTAACAAAAATCCATTCCAAATTGTCGCCCTTTTTGAACAATCGATTATTTTAGAAAGCTAAAATACACTAACAAGAAAATAAATCTAATAAATAACTGTCATTTTTCATCTCTGAGAAAAACGTTTCCTACATTGATTATAGCCAACGGCATCGTTGAACGTGTTGTGACATTGACATCTTCACACAATCTAATAAATATTTCATCAAATAACGTTTGAAACTGGTCTACACCAACAAATTCGAGAACAATCTAATAAAACATTCAAATTTAACTACATATTTAAATATAGTATATATTAAACATACATGAAAGTGTTTTGCACAAGCTATTCGACAAAGAACGGAATATTCATCCTAAAAAGATATATAAGCAAAATAATATATAAATTCTCAATGAATCAAATAAGAATAGTGATCAGCCCTTACAGAATCAAAACCTGTTCCAGTCGATAGTTTTATGAAAATTTCACTTAATAATTGTTTTGAATTTGACTGAAAGGCTGAAAATGGAAACAAATGATGAAATAAAACATATTTACGAGGAAAAAATTAAACTAATTTACATGAAAGACTATGGCATAATTCTGGTAATCTGTTAGCAATCACGGAGGCAAATTTTAGCGTACGTGCAAATATGGCAAATTTACACAACTCCAATAATGTTTCTGAAATCATAAAGACTTCTTTTCTTGATGCTAAAACAAGAAAATAATAACCATTTGACATCGAATAGATTTTGTACCAACGTACATACAGTGTGCTATGATATCTGTAATGTCTAATATTGTTTCAAAACACGCTTCTCGAACAGTAAAACTTTCATCATTCGTTAATAAACGAATAAGGGGTATTACCAATCGACATGTTTCATCTGGTCTAAATGACAATTTATGTGAAATATTTCAATTCGGCTATGGCTTCTATAGTAGTTACTACATACCCTAACGATTGACCTAAAAATGGTAATTTTCGAGCTGCTAAACTTCTAATATCTGGATTTGTGTCGTTCACAAAATTTCTGAATACTGGTAGAAGACGATTTTCTACCCTAAAATAAAACGAAACATTTTTGAAATATCACAATTAGCATAATATTCTTCAAATCGAAAACAGAAACTCACACTTGAGGTTGTAACATTGGTGCTAATTTGGCCAACAACGAACATAGACGATCTCGAACAGATCCATTTAAACTTCGACTAATAATCAAATCGAGCAACTAAAATCGTATAAATAAATATTTTTCAAAGAATATTTGGCTAAAACGGAATTATTACGGTGGGATATGGAGCGCTATCTGGTAAATATCCAATAATCTCACACAGAGCATTACACCATATTTCCCCCAAATCTAAAATTAATGAAATTATATAAGAAAAGTTGTTCTCCTTTGTTCATTCAACAACTACCAGATGGCTGCTTTTCTGATGTTTGTGTGAAAATAAGACCAACAATTAATTGTCCAAATAACGATAAAAACTGGGAACTATTTAAAACATGTTCTTTCATAATCATGACAAGTGCATCAGCAAATACGGCATGTTCTTCATAAATGATTGATTCCAAGATAAGATTCTATACCGATAGATAAAAAAATACTGTCAGTGAACTTTTAATAGGAAACATGTCTAAAGATTAAATCTCCAAGATTTATATAATCTTTGTGATCATTTAGAACAGGGATTGACAAAATGTCGCTTAGAACCAAAGAATATTAAAGAGAGAGAGCAAACATTTGCGGAAATTAAATTTAAATCGAGTTTATCATCTTATCAGCCTTTTTTTATCTCTGATGTCGTGAAAAAACATTACTTTAAACTTGGGTATAATAAGACTGATTGTTTCTTCATGATTGGTACGTAATGCGTCAACTATCATTCGTATACCAACAAACTGTTGTACATTGCAACGAGATCTATTTTAACGAATAAAGGAAACAATATGAATAAAATTATCAATAGAGTTTCTATTCTTCTGTACTCAATCAAAGCCAATGTCTTTTCAACAAGTGGTAAATCTTCTGGAATGGTATGCTCATGTATTTCTTCGGGACTCTAAACAAAGAACAAATATCTATAAAAGTCTTAATCTCAATAAATACATTATTCATACCTTTGTTTCATTAGTAATTTTTTCAAACCAATACTCGGATAAATCATTATTGATCGAAGATCGTCTAACGAAAGACGTTCGATTCATTATTCAATGAAAAAAAACAATAAATCTACAATGTTGAAAATAACATATCAGTCTATGCAAGACTATTTTGAGAGATCGCACCCTCAATCAAAAAATCCTTCAACTCGTTTGCCGAGACAAACCGACAAAAAACGTCAGAAAGTTTTATTTTTTTTTAAAACAATAAAAATAGTAACAAGATCTACTACAGTTTCCAAAAAACATCATGTCCATGGAAGAAAATTTGAAAACATGACGATACCGCAAAAAATATAACCTAGACAATAAACTGATAATAATTTATTTGAGAGTAAACAACGAAATAGCTCATGATTATTGAGTGGTATTGGCTGATTTAGTTTAACACTTAAATAAAAGTATAAGAAGGGTCCACTTGAGAACAGGAACCGAGTTGCTACCTAAAATAAAGAAAGATGTAAGAAATAGTGCATCATTTTAATAAGACGAGTGCTCTTTCCTTTTCTAAAAACATGGATAAAACCTATTTGCACACGATTCTGTTAATATTTTACTAAAAGTTTTTAGTTTACTGTGACAATTAAACTTCCTTCCTAATTAAAAACATACCTGTACGTGCATGAAAAACAATGCAAACAGCATCAAAAATAACGTGTAGAAAACATGTGGTACTAATACTGGTGAAGAAAGCCAATTGTTTTGATCAATACGATTTTGATAATGTTTGTGAAACAGAAGAAATATACCATTTGATCTATAATACTGTCTGATATTAAATGATTTGAGCCACGTTCGAATAATATCAAATATAATGTAAAAAACAGGTGATGAAAGTAAAAAATTTGGTATTTGTTTTACTTTCCAGTAGTTTAAAAATCCAACATTCCAATAATGATTTTGAATATACCAATATGAAAATGGATATCGATCATTACACCATGTGGAATATGGTTGAGTTGATGGTAATTTTAATTGTTTAAGATTTGCATAATCTATAAGTTCGGACACATAATCTTGCTTCTCCGGTGTACAAAAACTTTTATATTGGTAATACTGAACAAGAATAAATGGTGTGAAACAAACAGTCGAGTATAATATAAGACTTGTTATCATACGAATGATAAATAACCAGTTTTTTCGAAATTGATAATAGAATTCGGTTATCCAATAATACAAAATGAAACCATAAGAAACAATACCATTAGCTCGTATACTCAATCCAAAACCAAATAAAAGAGAAGCAACGAATGGACGATCATTGTTCAAGAATAATAATGCTAACAATTGAGAAAACAGAAATAAACATTCAGAATATGGTGCAATAAAAAATATTGTTGCCGGATTAATGCAGAATATAATAGATGACCAATAAGCAATAGATAATTGAAAACCATACTTTACAGATAAATGAAATAATAAATATGTAATAAATAGTCCAAGAAAGATATTATCCAGAAACGAAGCCAATAACAACGCACTGTGTGAGTTTAAAGGAAGTAAAGAACCAAGTAATTGAGCTAATGGTTTAACGACAATCAATGGATATGCCGGAAAAAATGCTAATGAATTTTCATAACTATAACCATACCGTGCAATATGCAAAAAATAAATACCATCCCAACGACGTAACCCAGAGAATAAGAAATAAACTATTTTATCTAATCTGGATTCATTTTTATCAATAGTCCATCCCGGCGGATTGAAAACATTGGCGTTATGATCTGGTATGAGAATATTGGCGACTACCTAAACAAACAAACATACACATAAAATTCAATAATATTGAAGGACTTCTTTTTAATCACCTTACACATGTGAACATTTACATTGGAAAATAGTTAGTTTTACGACCTCGAGATAAAAAGGAGTATGTCATACGTTCTGTCGCTCAAAATTTTTCTTCTCATGATATATTTTTACTGAGTAACATGATGCTTTCCTCTTCTGCGAAGTTTACAGACATCGAGAAGAGTACTTGAAATAAAGAACAAAAATGAGAGTGTAAAAGCAAGACAAGAACTAATTTACCTGTAGAAAAAACTGAGCTGTGCGAATTTGAAAGTAAAAACAGATCAAGCGTCTAGACAGATGAACTGGAACTGTATAGTTTGTATTCATTTTTAAATTAGAAAAATTTCTATTGATATATGTCGGTAGTGCTGGAAAACAACAGGATTAATATATTATACATATTTTTGTAACACTCGCTCTTTCACCAAACGGAAATTAAAAAAGCGTCCATGCGATAGATTGACTATGAGCCTAAAGCATCATTGGTCACACAATTTCATCACACAAATCTAGTACGCAAATCAATTCTTATCTTTTGCGTACCGTACGTCGATAGTAGCGATTGATGTTGAAGCTGAACTATTTTGACAGCCTAATTCTCACTAAGTAGCCATTCAGATAGTTGAAACTACCTCTGTTTCCATGAGGATCCTTTCCTGAAGTTGAGAAAAAAGAGATATTTTTCTAAGCGCTCAGACTTTTCTTCAGTTCAGAGAGTACTGTCTATTGCTTTCATTTGCCTTACACCATTTACCGACATTCCATTTTTATTGGCAGTCCGATAGCTATTCAATAACGAAAAACAATAAATAATAAGCATTTTGTCTAGGCAAGCAAAAGAGAATCTAGCCCCACAATTTCCTTTAAAGTTGTTGGTATATTAACCTGGCAGAAAAAACATACGATTTTACCTTAGAAGTAAAGTAAACATTTACAAATAGAACCGAAAGTGATTAATTCTTCCAATTCTGACAGAACGATTTATATATCAAATCTACGGTATTACATGGTGTGGATATATATGTTAATTATTTATAATAGAAAGATTTTAAATTAGATAATCGTAGTTAGAATGTAGCGTTGATTATTTCAATTCGTGTTTGTTTCACTTATTTTCTCATCCTTTTATTTTAAAGGACAACTTTAAAAGATCGATGGAGGCTTAAAATATGTTCTAATGTCGACTTTGTAAAGATACAACAAAATAGTGTGAGCTTATCGTGGACGATTTTTCTTTATTGTTCTTGTAAGCCCTTTTATGACTTATTGATGACTCATGAATGAATGATATTGATTTACTTTCTGAATTGTATTTATGTCAGTTCTTTTTCTCTACATGGATACAAAATAATGTTGCAGCTTGAAGATTTTAAGTATGCTTATCTGTTGTTTATATTGTCTCCTATTCACCGTATTTTAACGTATGTGTGCGTACAATAGTTATTGCTTTGATCACGCTGTTTATGTGTACCCATGTCAAATGTGTCCAACTGGATATCGGATTTCATCTGAACTTTATTACTCAGAATCCAATTATCAAATCTGATCAGATGAATGTTCAGCCTAAATAGCAGTCATCAAGTCGGGAATACATCCGTTTGCTTTTCTTACTGTACTGCGGAGAGTGTAAAAAATAATTTTGAGTATGTTTTCTGTTAACGCTGGGATTTGATTTTATCATTTTAGATCTAATATCTTTTACTCAATTTCAAATCTCATATCTCAAATCTCCTTTAATCTAGAATTATTATTCTTATTATCATCCGTAGACAAATCTTTTAGTTAAATTATAACAATAAAAACTAGGTATGTTGCTAAATTTATTAGATTCTGGAATACTTTGTGCTTATTGAAAATTTGAATTCCCATATATCTGATAGGTATCATAGTCTACGGTTATTTTTTCATTTATTCACTGACTGTTATATTATCTCACTCTGCTCAATCGTTCTACTGTTTCTATCCGTATTTATTCAACCGTAATCTTTTTAAATTTCGTACTGCACACGTATTGATACTTTATAATAGAATTTAAACCCTAATTGTATCTATACGAAACTATGTAATCTTATATTTTATGATGTCAATAAATTTTGTTCTACTCAGTATCTAACATGAGCACAAATTTATTGGGATATTAAGATGATACATCATAGTTTTCAAGTCTATAATTAGCGCACCGGTTTTCTTTTGTTTGAAAGTTCTTCTATGTTTTTATTGTGAAATATTTTCACGAATTCATCATAAACTATAACAATAATAGAGAAAGATTGATTTTGTGTTTAGAAGTGAAAAATTATGAAGAGAGAATACCACATATTATTATTCTTAGAATAGTTTAGACTAGGCATGCACCGGTATTTACCAGTTGTAATTCTGCATTTTTTTCATAAAAAAGTTTTCATACTGCAAAATGATCTTCTGAAATATTTATGATGACTATGTCCTGTAGAACAAACTTTTCTCTACAAAATGAGGTATAACAATACTTATCATCTTGAATCGGTACTCAGATAAAAAATGTTTGTTAAATGTCTCGCAACCGATACTGATACCGATACCGGTTTAGGACTTTTCGTTAAGAAGCAATTGTAGTAGAAAAAGCGATTCTCACATTCCATTTTATAGAAAAGAGTTTGCTCTACAAGACACAGTCATAAAAAAACCTGTGATGGCTTGTAGTTTTCAGTCAATTTGATTCAGGAAAAGAGGAAAATATACTGATGCATGCAGTTTTTAGACAGTTTTTTTATTAATATAATCAAGCATACATTGTTATTTTTGAGTCCACATTTGATGTAGCAGTTCAACTAGATTTTTTGTCCTTATATGGCCTTATCATACGCTGCTTGATCCTGACGAGTCGATTCACACAAGTAGTGTTCCATCTTCCCTTTGCCTATCGTTAGCTGATTCGAACCTAGCAAACATCGAGCAGTAGGTGTGTCTCATCGATGTGAGAAAAAAAGAAAAAAATATTTATTTCACAAAGTTAATTCATAGAATAGTGATCATCATAAGATGTACAGTTGCTTCTTTCAGAAACTGCAGTTATAATAAGTGTAGTTATTTATAAAAAAAAAAGAAAAAGAAATTGACGCCTCTTCACTTTACTGTATTGTATATGGTAATTGTGTCGTACATAAAAGATTATTATTATTGACAATGACTTCAACTACTAGTCAATATCGTTCAAATAGTGCTTCAATATTTAAACAGAAAAATACGAAGTTCATACTTACATAAAATTCTTTGTTCTCTTCTACTATTCTACACGGACTAAATAATGATTGAAAATATCACAAATAGTCGTAAGTCGTTTAATCACTTCCTTCTCTGTTATCAAGATCGAAAATCTCCATTGGTTTTAAGAATGGTTAATTTCTAATAGTAAACTTGTTTCTGGTTTAAAGTTACTTCAATAAACAAAATTGTAGTTATTTAAATTATGAACTATTTCGTCACGTAAGGAACAAAGAGATTTTTTCTTTATTTATCAAACGTCATCTAACAGAACTCTAAAACAAAAATATTTATTGTCCATCTTCTTCGTCACTGTTATGTTTATTCTCAAGAAGTAGTTGAACAGACTGTTGTTTTTACTTATGCTGGATAATAAAGCCGTGCATTATAAACTTGATCGTATCTTTTATTAATTCTATATTTAATGCGTGACATTTAACTAATATTTTCATAGATTACAAGATTAGAACGTGAAAAAAGTACTTATCGTTGAAAAATATTTCATTTGAAAACCTTTTGTATGGATGGTTTTTGTCTGCCACATCATACAGCTGCCTGCATTTATATACATATATAAGTTATATATGTATATATATATACATAGAGAGAGAGAGAGAGAGTAGCACATATTGCAGTTACACATACATACTACATGCAATGTCCACTAGCATGATTAGATCCCGCATCGAACAAAAGGCTCACTGAGTAACAATCCCCGTGATGTGATAGTTTGGTATGACTTTTAGACTATTAGACTTTCTGACTATCGGAATCATGAGAAAAGGTTCGCGTTGCGTAAAAAACGAGCCACGAGATAACATTTCTTATATACACCAGACCATCGACACAAATATATGCGTAAACCTAGCAATCATTATTCTTTCTGTTTTTTAAATATTTTTCAACTATTTCGAACTTTTTTCAAGTCTAAGTTTTGCACACTATTTCTAATGGTAGTCGATTCCACATTTACTCCTCAGAGCGTATCAGACAGTTGCATAGAAAGCAGTGAACAATATAGTTTCTACCAGAAATTACACATACACGGATTGGAAAATGAAAGAAGATCCTATTGCGTCGCTTAATAAACTTTGCATTTTCTAATGTGTGCAGTAAATAATACAAGAATTTTAGTAATATGTGTATGAGTTTTGATAGATGGCCTGGAAAGACTCATAATCGTAAAATCTGATCTATATCGAATATTATATAAGTCTGATCTATTGTTGCATTTCAAATGCGTAATCGTTCGCTAATAAAATAGTAAGTAGCTGGTGAAATTCCTCATAAAATGTCATCAGGGTTGAGTTAATTTATAAGACGATAAGATATAGTTTTAAGATTAAAATCTGTATCTTGTGCTAAAATGGTTTCCACAAGAAGTAAAGATATAGAGAACTAGCAAATAAGGATATATCTCTTTCGTATATGCCTATCTTTTTGTTCTCTTTCTTATCGATCGATGCGTTGAGACGAAAGAATCTCCACACATGGAATATCTTATGTGGAAAGATATCTCCTTATTTGCTAGTTCTCTAATGAATACTTATTTGAATCTATCGAATCATTAATTTTTATCAATTATGCGTACCACTTGGCTTGGCGACATAATTACTGCTATACCATTCCATCACGATTTGTTTTCGTCTTGTTTCTTCTATAGTGTTCGGATGGGAGCATGTCCAGAACTTTGCCAAGTCTTAAATTGAAGAGAGAAGAGTGCGAAACACTTTGAGACGTTTCCGCACTCTGTGCGGTCTCTTATTTAGAAAATAGTGTTCAAATACAAACTACTATTTTGAATTGATCATATTTCGTAAAGAAAAGAACGTAGTCTGAGAATCTTAAAACATTTCTCTCTTCAGTTTAAGACTTTGCAAAGCTCTTGACGTGTTCTTATCCAAATACTATAGAAGAAACAAGATGCCAAGTCGTATTTTATTTATAGCAAGTTTTGGAATAGCTTTTTGATAAAAATGAAATAAAGGACATGCAGATTTCGGTAGTCGATAGAAGAGGCTGTTGGATGTCTTGTAGAAGACTAGTATCAGACATGAAGGAGTCGTCACTTTTTTGAATGGTTAATTCCCACAGATCATTTTCCACGAACACCATTCAGCTTTTATTATTTTAAACCTTCATTATACTCATTCTATTGAACGTTTTATTACGTGTTATCTTGTGTATTTTCTTCAATTTTGCATGTGACAAGATGTTCTTAGAATATTCTCAAATCTTTCTATATACATTTTCTCTGTACATCTCTCTCTATTCTCGTGTATAAAATATATGAGAAACACATTCATAATAATCCAAAATTTCACATGACTGACTCCAAACTTATCAAATTTATTGAGTCTTTTTTTTCGAGTCCGAGCTCCAGTCTGAGTCACTCGAGTCGACTCAAGTTCAAATCTTGCATCGAAGTCGTCCATCTCTGATGAGTGCATGATGGACTTGCGCCATAATAGGTCACTTTAAGAACAATATTTCTATTACAAGAAACGACAATGATTTTTTATAATACATTTGCATACTGCAAAATCATGTGATGATATAATTAGAGAAAAAAAGAAACAAGCTGACGTTTGGGTCTTTTCTCCTCTATCTATTCTTTCCATAGTCTTAACATTATTTTCATAAAATTTATTGCCTAAATTTAGTGCTTCGATCACATGATAATACCTATTGATAGTATTTTTTAGTTAACTCTTTAAGTCCGGTAACTGATCATGCAAACTAAACTTGAAACATATATATCTTTGTTTAGACTTTATGAAAATTTTTTTGTTATTAGCAGTCGCTAGCTTATATAGTGTCAGCTTACGCTGGAAAAAAAACGATTGAATAATTTTTGATTTAGCGCTGCGTTACTTTTTTGTATCAGTTATGATGATATCCTCTGGAAGGAACAATCGCGCATAAAGGGTTAAAGTCATTATTTACTTTCTAAGAATTATTGCGCAGTTTAAATGTCACAGAAGTTCTTCTCTCCCTTGTCTTGGTCCATAAATCAGATGTTCTATGTTGTTAGGCAAACTCTGCTCTGCTACTTCATCGCTGGTTTGAATAATCACCAAACGTGGGTTATTGCTTCTCCTATGGTTAAAGGCTATCCAATATTTTCGAATTCAAGAGTTGTTTAACGGTATTTTAGTGCTGCTAATTGATTTTTTGGAATCATTAAAGTAGAACAATGTAGTCAGCAGTGCAGTTTTCTCAGTAAAAATATCTTCGTAAATTACTATTTGTCGATAAAAATAAGTAACGGGTGCGCCAGGATAAATATCGCTCTACGTATTTTCTATTTTTCTCGTGTTTCTTTAGGACCCTAAGGTTAGTGTTTTTTTAAAAGATGCGCCGCGAAATACTCTACAAAAATATACTTCAACTTTAATTTCAGACCTTCGATCAAGAAACTACGCAAATTATACGAAAGATGAAAAAAATGAAAACTATCTAAATTTGGTATTTTTTTCGACTTAAACCTTTTTTTCTGCTATTATTTCCGTAAAAAAGTGTAGTAAAAGAGAGAACGCAGTTCTTTTTGTACTTTTCAATATGCTCTTTCTCGTAGCCTATAAAAAAAATTTTTCTAGAGCAGATGGTATGCTGAAGAACGAGGTTACAAAAATACGTCAAAAATTGACAGCAAATGTGCCCAAGCAAGGAACGGAAAGCATCAGTGAAGTTTTGATTTTGCAGTTAGGTAGAGAAGAGCAATCATTTTTGATCAAAACAAATTAGACCCGATCGAAAAATCTTTTGTTTTGATGGAGTTATGGAACTTTTACTAAAAGCACCACTATACGTAGAATTTAAAAAATTAATGAAAAATTGCGTGACAACAGATTGAAAAATCATTATTTCTCCATCGATTTTGATGTGAAAAAATTTGAAATGTAGCTGAAAGATAGAGTGAAGTCACGACTACATAATGGCTGATTCAGGTTTTCTTATTTTCAAAACGTTAACACAAGAAATCGTTTTGGAGTTTGGAAAGTTTTCATTTTTTCCGTCTTTCGTATAATTTGCGTAGTTTTCTTGATTGAAGTTCTGAAACTAAAATTTAAGTATGGTTTTGTGAAGTATTTCGTGTCTTTTAAAAAAACACTAACCTTATGGTCCTAAAGAAACACGAGAAAAATAGAAAATACGTAGAGGGACATTTATCCTGGTATACCCGTTAAATATGAGTCATGATGAAAATTGATTTGATCATCTCTAAAAACGAATGTTGCTGTAAGTCGAATCAAGTTTTGTTCACGATTACAGATCTTTATTTATGACAAAAGCTGAAGTTAAAATTATCATATTTTATTATACCTCAAGATTTTATTCTCTATCTCTTCTAATAATATATTTTTGTTTGTTTATTTAGACAGAATGCCGTTCTGGAAGAAAGATCGAGTGCACGAAGAAATTTATAACAACGTTGCTGAAGGTATGTTTGTCTCTGTGTGCTCAAACTTCTAAAAGTCTTCTAAAAGCTCATATTTGCTACCTATTTTAAAAGGTTTACGTTCAGTATATAAAACCAAATTAATGCCATTAGAAGAGACGTACAAGTTTCATGAGTTTCATTCACCTCCGTTAGATGATTCTGATTTTGAAGCGAAACCAATGGTATTATTAGTTGGTCAATATTCTGTAGGAAAAACGTCATTTATTCGATATGTATTAAATGAAGATTTTCCAGGAATTCGAATTGGTCCAGAACCTACAACAGATTCTTTTATAGCCGTTATGCACGGACAAAATAATGGAACAGTACCCGGTAAATGCTATTTATAAAACTCTAATAATTTTGTGAGAGTATGTCTACGGCATAAGATCTATGAGAATTGAATTAAAGTATTCTGTTATTTCATAGTAAATAAACCGTTCATGATATTTTTGTGAAGAATGACAAGCTCTTGGTGATATATTGACCCAATAGCATACTATCTCATCGTACTCTAAATTAAAAGAGCTTACTATGCTATACCGGTGCTATACGATAGAGATTAGTCCCTAGATTATCTCTTTAATCTTTAATTTTGTTCTTTTTTCTAGGTAATGCGTTAGTTGTTGATCCATCAAAACCTTTTCGTTGTTTAACTAAATTTGGTAATGCATTTTTAAATCGTTTCGTCTGTTCAAATGTCAAGAATGATGTATTAGAGTCAATTACATTTATCGATACACCTGGCATCCTCTCAGGTGAAAAACAACGTGTTGATCGTGGCTATGAATTTTCTCAAGTATTAGAATGGTTTGCTGATAGATGTGATCGTATTTTGTTGTTGTTTGATGCCCATAAACTCGATATATCCGATGAATTAAAACGATGTATTGAAGTTTTAAAACGAAATGATGATAAAATTAGAATTGTACTTAATAAAGCAGATATGATTGATCATCAAGAATTAATGAGAGTTTATGGAGCACTCATGTGGTCACTTGGCAAAGTCTTAAACACACCGGAAGTGTGTCGAGTTTATGTTGGATCTTTTTGGTCGAAACCATTACATTTTGATTCAAATAGACGATTATTCGAATTAGAAACAAAAGATTTGTTGGACGATTTGGAATCATTACCAAAAACAGCAACATTGAGAAAATTAAACGATTTAATTAAACGAGCAAGATTAGCCAAAGTAGATCGTGTATAAAGGAAATAGTTTATTGTTTATTCTCTATTCTTATTTATCTTAGGTTCATGCACTCATTATCAGTGAATTGAAAGAAAATATGCCTAGTGTATTTGGAAAAGATTCAAAACGTAAAGAACTAATTTCAGTAAGTATTTTATCATTATGTAGTTTGCTAACATTTTTATGATTATACATATTATTTTATTTTAGAAACTTAGTATTGTTTATGAGAAGATTCAACGTGAACAGAATATTCCACTTGGTGATTTTCCCAAATTAGATCGAATGCAAGAGATATTAAAAAATATGGTACGCATGAGCTATTGAAAAGTGTAATATAACTAGCGCTGGCTTATTACTTGTTGCTCTGTGTAGTAAGTAGTAGAGTAACAAAAATTCGTTGGTTGTTGTCAGTAATATGATAATAGCAGATGCTATTTTGTTACTTTGCTATAAATAACAGTACAAACATTATTACTTGTTACCAGTCACATCGTAACAAATAGATTTAGAAACGTTACTTTTGGTAAAGTAACCAAATCTTTTTTTTTTATAAAATATATTTAATATTCCTCTAGACTTCCTTTAGATTGTGCCCAATTCTCATACCTCGATCGGCTCTTTCCCAGAATCCTTAGTGTATGTTAGAAAAGAGACTTTGAGAACAATCATTTCTCTTTAACCCTTTACGGCTGGATGTGTTTTCAGAGCACAATACAATAATTAATGTAAAAACTGTTGTGAAATACTACAACTAAATTCGAATAGTTTTTCAGGCTAAGGTAGTGTTATAGAGTTCATTAAAAAGCAAAAGGTTTTTAACTAATTGCTGAAAAAAATAATTCACGTTAAATTAAATATCGTAATGTCTCCTGGGAGGGACATTCGGTCGTAAAGGGTTAACAGTCATTACAAAACAATTTTGTAACGACAGATGAGAATGAAACGCAGAACTTTATATCTGATTACTCGATTGTTAATGACGATTTGAAATTTTGATAGTGAAGAGTGAAGCAACCTGACACGAGTTATAGAATATTTATTGAAGTTAAGAATTTCGTCTAAAATCGCGAGAATGTTTCAAGAGTGACAAATCTTTGTTGCTTTGCGACTAGGCATGCACCAGTTATGTAACTGGTGTTAGGATATCTGGAAATAATGTTATAAAGCGGTTATTAAGAATCCCTCAGACTTGCAGAATATCTCATTTTTTAATTTTTTAATTTTTGAATAAGTACTTTTTCTTCGTACCAACTTTATTTTTATTATATTCCAAACGTTTCGATTGAGAGTTCAATCTTCATCAGTGGATACAAACATTAATTAAATTAATTAAAATTACATAAACAAAAACAAATTTGAACAGAAAACTTTAACATAGGGATATTCTTCCCGTTTTTTAATTTTATATAATCTATATACAGACGATAATAAAATAACTTAATAAATAAGCAAAAATTAAAAAATTAAAAAATAGGATCTAACTTCGTATTCATATCGACACTTCAAGAACATCTCATTTTCTCAGAGAAATATTTGTTTTATGTATTTGTTGAAACAAAAAAAGTTTAAAGTTAATTATGACAAAAATAAGAGCATTCTTAAATGCCATAACTGTATATGGTAACTGGTCATCCGTTACATAACTGTTTGTGCCTCTTCAGTAATTCGTTAGAAACGCTTCTCTCTTTCAAGCTTTAGTTTTATCTTCCATGCAAATACATAGAACAAACATTTCTCTACAAAATGAGACGTTTCGCAAGTCTGAACGATTCTTATAACCGCGTTGTAGCAAATTTCTTGGATGCACCAAAAAGCAGTCGCAAATAACTGGTTCGTAACTGGAGAATACCTATTTACGACTGGTAACAAGTAATAAAGTAGTACCTGTTATCATTTAGTTATTTGTAATAAGTAACAAAATCATTACTTGTTACTGGTATCAGTAATGGTAATGTGCCAATACTAGACATAACATCGCCGAATAAAGATTGATATTTCATCAGATCATTTTTTTGCTACGAATCGTCTGACAAAGCTAATAAGGGAAGTATCCCAAGTGTCCAAGTACGCTTCAAGAAGACGATTGGATACTTGGGATACTTTCTTTGTAAGAGTAGAAGTTAATGATCCTTCAAATAGATTAAAAAGAAATCGTTCGTTCCTTCCTTTGATTTATAATTTTTTAAACAAAAAATGTGAAATATTTGCTTACGATATTATTGGCATTAACCTTTATTATTTTGTTAGGACTTTACAAAATTTAAACCATTAGATCGTAAACAATTAGAACGCGTTGATCGTATGTTATCTGAAGATGTACCGAAGCTCATGAATATGATACCACAAGAAGAAAAGACATATTTAGAGATACATGATCGTCCAATATCCGGTTCAACATTCAATGACCAACAAGCAACTCCGTTTGAGTTTGGAGGCGTTGAAGGTGTCAACGCAGGAATTGGAGAACATGAATGGATTGTCAATCGTCAGCGAGACGAATATGATAAAGTGTTTCAATCATTACAACCCATTAGCGGAAAAATAACGGGTGCAGCAGCAAAACAAGAAATGATTAAATCAAAATTACCCAACAATGTTCTTGGACGAGTATGGAAGTTATCAGATGTTGACAAAGATGGAATGTTAGACATAGACGAATGGGCATTATCTCAACATTTAAGTATGTTCATACATTTTTTTTGTTTTTTTATGACTCTAATATTTCTTGTTTTGTGTTTAGTCAAACTAAAACTTGATGGTCATGAATTACCGAATACGTTACCTGATCATTTAGTTCCTCCGAGTAAAAAAGATTTATTATCGACAAATGGTTTTCATGGCAACACTAATTCATCATCTTTATATCCTTCGATTAAATCACATGTTGACAGAGGAGATCATGAATAACAATAATGAGTCTCCCCCACAATCGTTCTTTTCTTTTTATATTTTTGCTTTTCTCCTTACATATGAATACTCAAAATAATTTGCCAAAATGAAATAAATAGAACCACTTTTCTATGATGACAGCCATCAGATTTTCTCATATATATTATTTTTGTGAAGAATTATTATACGCCTATTTTTTTCTGCCACATTGCTGTGGATTTGTAGTTTTTTTTTTCTTTTCGACCATTTTTTGACCACTCCTGTTTATATTATAAATGTTTTTATATCCTACTTTATCTAGATCCGTTACATAGACAGACGAGTTCAAACAAGGCTTTAATTTACATCATGTGGACAATGAAAAGACTGTAAGCTTTCATTTAGATGGTAGAAGGTTGCAGTCAGCGGTAATTTACACTAACGCTGGTTGACATGCTAAATTTTTTAAAAGACATTTATTCTGCCTCTATTTTCTTCTACAATAGATATTTATTAATCTTTCAAAGCTAAAGCGAGATAGAATGTTTACATAACGCGAAACGACATGTGACAATGATTTTTGCGCTATGACTTTTTGCTAAAGTCAGAACTGCTGAGATGAAATACTTAGTGTATCTTTCGATATTTTTTATTTTTTCATTTAATAAATAAGTTTTAGTGAAGATCACAACAGTCCGCCATATTTAGAAAGATGTTTTTCTTTGGTCTTCCTTTTTTATATTGTTCAATTTAATCAATCGCGGCTATTATTTGTCTTTTTTATTAATTTGAGTCTGAAAGAAATGAAGATTGGAAGCAACTTTTGCTATTGTTCATTTTCTCTTCGTATACACTTAGCCATTCATTTACTCTATTTATTTACATCTTTGTACATGTGCATTTTTACTCTCTACTATTATTTTTTTGTTTAAAACGGTTGTAATTAGATGGATATACTTCGAGATTTGAGCAAATAATAATAAAAGCAAAGTATTCTGAACTTGCGCAAAGTCAAATCATATTAAATTAATTAAAGTTTGTAATAGATTCGACAATATTGATCACCATTTTAGTTTTTGATGATCACAGAACATATTTACACCTGTTGATGTACTACTAATATAGCCGGAGAAAATGTCAGAGTCTAGGTTATATTCCATCACTTAGTTATTACCTATAGTACTTTTTAGGATTTTTGAAAAGTTTTTTCTCGCATTTTGAAGAAACAAACTTGCTGCTAAATTTGTTAAAAGATAAAATGATATCAAATGAAATGGCAAGTCATCAGAAGTACCTACATTTCCGTATATCGAGAACGATCTGTAAAAACTACAGGAATATTTATTGCCAAAGACGAAAAACTCCATCTAAATCATATGCGTTTAGCAAGAACTAGGTTCCATTCCTGATATGGCTTAAAATGACTCAGTGCAATCCAAAACCTTGGATATCACGACACGTGCAACTATCATTATCAACAAACGTAAGTCAGTCGTGGCTAATCAAAGTAAACTCTATGGAAACCAATTCAAACAAAATCGTTCACTATCTCAATCCCCAGAAATTCTCAACAAAGACAAACAATGCCACTCTAACGGATAAGCCAGAATCGTGTAGAAATAGGAAGTGAGAGTGCCGAAGTAAAAGTAGGAATAGAACGACAACGTTGTGAATGAACTAGCCTCAAGAGCTGAAAGTTCGTTTATTGTTGACGAGGACAAGTGATGCCACTTTCTCGATCGAGCTAGAATCGTATGCAAGTAGGAAGCAAGAATGCGGAAATAGAACGAAAGAGAAGGAAGAGAAAGTTGAAATAGGACGACGACGTTGTTAGTGAACTAGTCGCACGACATGCAAGTTTGCTTATTGTCGACGAAGACAAGTGGCGCCACTTTCTTGGCGAAGCTAGCATCGCATAGAAGTATGAAGTGAGAGTGCAAAAGAAAAAGTGAGAGTAGAAGGACCACATTGTATGTGAATTGATCGTAGGACTAGTCGCATTTTCATGCAATAAAATACCATACTCGGCGTCAGCGTCGAAAACTGAGTAGAATGATATGTAGTTTCGAAAATTTTCGTTGATTTTCATGATTTGGTGAAAATCTCAGTAATTTTTCAATGTGAAAAGCCAAAAAAACTAAGATGGTTGAAAAAAATAGAAAAAGCTAGGTGCTGGTAATTCAAGGTTACAATAGGAATTTTTTTGCTCTTTTTCGGCCATGGTTGGATAGAGCTCATCGAGTTGCATCGGAAAAACACAATCCCACATTTTAAGAAGCCAGTTTGTGGTGAAAAAATTTAAAAACACCCATTTTGTGAAAAGGACCAAAAATCCGTGAAATTTTACAAAACAAGCAAATTTTTCATATTTATTGTTTTTCTAAAATTCAAAAACTATTTTTATCTGATTCTCCGTCAAAAACTGAGTATTTCGTAGACTTTTCTCTCACCATGAAGTTTTGAATATCATCTGTGCCGGAGCCAACACAAATCTCACTTAATTTCTTTTTTATATAATTTTCGACATCCCCGAATGAAAATTTAGGTAAACAACGCAAATCTGTCATGGTATTTAGCGAATTCTTACTTATTATTTTTCAGTATTTCACGATCAGTGTTTGTGTAAAGAGTATCAGAAGAGACGAGAAAAAATAATAAAACAGCAGAAAGACATAAATTTCTGTAAACAGAATATATTTATCGTTTAGCTTTCTGGAGTCAATAGTTTTTCGCCTAAACTTTCACTGTACGATCATTCCCATATGTCAGGCACTCCTTCGAAAACAGATTAAAAGTAGCATACAAGAACTCAAAAATATCGCCCCATCCACGATATTTCGAACTTACGACAATATCACTACATAAGCACATAGATCGAACTTGGAAATATGGATCATTCAAACGCTTCCTTCAAATCCAATGCCTTTATTAGCACCGGTAACCAGAATGACACGTGATTGATTTGTTATTGACGACATAGGAAGAATGAAAACACATCTGGTTGCACACCGTCTTTATATAGAAAGGAAGGACTGCTTGCGTAGCAACACGTTTATTTCTCTCCGTTCTGTCTCATCGCGCGGTGTGTTTGCTAATACTTACAATGACGGTGCAATTTTTTGCTTTGTCAATAATGATAGGGCAAGATATGAGGAAGCTTTTCTTAGCATCGTTCTCTTCGCGCTCTCACTTGCAGCGGCTAAAATGTAGCGGTTGCGTCGCTTCAGGTATCGGAAAAACACAGCGAGATCCGATGAAATTCGAGTCCTGAGTTACAAGTGTGGCGGTTTTATCGGAATACAGGCACTAAATTGACAAATTGTAATCAAAAATCGAAGAAGTAAGTGCTCTGATACCTCACAAAGTAATCAATGAGCAGTAGTCTTTAGTCTGCATCGCTGCTGAGCTTTTAGTAACGAGGATGAATATCTATTTGATATCTTTTCTATCATTTTGTCATTCTAAGTATTTTCGCTGCTCTTTCATCTGGAAATAACATGTCCCGATGGATTTCGCCTTGCCGTTCAAATAAATAAATAGGGAACGCATCGGTCCATTGATTTGACATCAATCTTGAATATAGATTCTTAAAGAACAGAAACTTTCATTGTCAGCCGCTGTTTTGAAACACTTGCTGATTCGCTCAACCGGTTGAAAAATAAACGAAAACTGTGCCTCAAAATCTTTCGCACCACTTTTTCACAATGAATACGGATTCATTTGTAAGAAGAAATGTCATAAAACTAAGTGATTTAAGCCACTTGTTAACTCATTTGATTCAGAGAAACTAACTGGCCATCCACGATTTGATACGCGCGTTGAAAGTGAGTTCGACCCACTTTCTCTTCCTCATTGTCACTTTCTACTTCTATGTGTTTCCAGGTTGACCCCGAACGTGGCGTCATTTGTCTTTGTCGACAATAAACGAAGTTCCATGTCCTCGGATCAGTTCACATCCAGCGTCGTCGTTCTGCTGCCACTTTCTCTTCCCCATTAGCGCTTTCTACTTCTATGTGTTTCCAGGTTGATCCAGAACGCGGCGTCACTTGTCTTTGTCGACAATAAACGAAGTTCCATGCCTTCGGATCAGTTCACATCCGATGTTCCACTTTCGCTTCCTCATCGTCACTTTCTGCGTCTATGTGTTTCCAGGTTGACCCAGAACGTGGGTTCACTTGTTGAGTGATGAATCAACCGTATGTGGTGAGGTAGAAGTTTATGGATTTGAAGGAAGCGTTTGAATGATCCATATTTCCAAGTTCGATCTATGTGCTTATGTAGTGATATTGTCGTAAGTTCGAAATATCGTGGATGGGGCGATATTTTTGAGTTCTTGTATGCTACTTTTAATCTGTTTTCGAAGGAGTGCCTGACATATGGGAATGATCGTACAGTGAAAGTTTAGGCGAAAAACTATTGACTCCAGAAAGCTAAACGATAAATATATTCTGTTTACAGAAATTTATGTCTTTCTGCTGTTTTATTCAGAATGAGATGTTAGCATGATCTTTGCACTTAAGGGCAAAGCATGAGATTCTGAAAACTCCGGCATTATGGTCTCATCTACCGGATGAGAAGTTTTTTAAGTGGACAATAGCAACGGTTCAATGGCACCATCGCGAAATATGGTAAAAGACTGAAAGCTCCAAGCAAATTGGATAAGAGTCCAGCGATGGTGCCATTGAACCGTTGATATTGTCCATCCACCAGCAGTATTGTCAAGTAAATCAACGGTCAGATACCTACAAGCAGAAAAGTGTCAAACTAGGCCAATCGATTGATGAACGCTGTACCCATCACATAGAACAGAGAGATAACATATGCATCAATGTCATGGTACGGGCCAAACATCAGCTGTTTCACATAGCGACTCGTGGGCTTGGTTGCCGGATTGTCAGCTGGTGCCAGAAATGCACTGTGAACAATGAATGTTAACCAAACAACCCAATAGATGATTTTCGATGCCATTTTCGGACTTGGATGAAGATTTATGATGTTCTGACCCCGAGAATGCTTCAGATCATCCATGGATGAATAGAATGGTTGAAACAGATTTCCAATCGCACCATCACGGACCAACGTCGTTCGAATACTATAGAAGTCTAGAGACATCTCTCGCACGCAGGCTCAGAATTTGTATTTGTAGAAAAAATGATTCAGACCAACGACAAATAGCAGGACTTGATGGTATCAGTGAATTCGACCATTGATGATGTCAGAGATCGAAGAAAGGATTTTTTAGCAAAAGATCCTTCGTTTGAAACTCTACGACATGTTACGTTTTTTCTATCCTGATACTTCTCACCATTTTGAGGCATGCGATTCGCCTCAGATACGCAACTTCTTTTCGGATGTTTTTCACTTCGCGTTTGAGTTCTCGAGTTAATGTGTCTCGGAAAGAACGGTTCGACTTGCTCATACAAACAGGTGTGGATGATCTTGATAATGTTTTCTCTAAACACAAATTCTAGGCCAAGCTCTTTCTGATCGATGGAGATGATAATATGCAAAACTCTTCTCTTAGTACCCTTCGGAAACACCTTTTAGAATTTTTGTCCTCATGTTGAGTGATGAATCAACCGACATGCCTTCCAAAGGAGAACACTTTCTCGCCACTGCTACCTTGTTAAGAACCGATTCATTTTTAGAAGCTACTAGTGGAGATACCCGGCGTTTCCTCGGCAGAGAGAACACCGTATGCTTGGCATCGGAAAGAGTGACGGTCGAGCGTTCGTCCATAAGTTATTGACTTACCTCTTTGGCTGAACCGAATTCGCGCGTTCTCATTCTGAATACCAGTCCCACTTTGATAACAGACTGGTGTATTCCCAGCGAGAACACCCGAGAATGTATCAAGCTAGGCCTATACAGAAACGCGATAAAATGTGTTGGGCTGGCTGGCCTTGGTGTATTCCCCGTGAAAATACACGAGAATACATCACGCAAGCCATATATGCAAATGCGATAAAATGTGCTGGGCTTACTAGGTTTGTTGAATCCTACCGTCCGAATGCACGAGCATACACAAGAATACGTAAATAAAGAAATTCTGCAAAATGTGCTCCACTTGCTGAGCTTGGTATAGCACCAGTGCGAATAGACGAGAGTATGTCGCGCTAGGCATATACGTAAATTCGATAAAATCTGCTGGGCTTTGTGTATTCTCCGTGAGAATACACGAGAATACGCAAATGTTTAAATACTATGAAGTGTGCTGGGCTATATATACGAGAATATACCAGAATACGCATATTCACGAATACTGTTAAATATGCTGAGCTTGCCCGCTTTGGTGTATTCACAGCCAGAATACACCAGAGTATATGACGGTGGGCAATTACATAACGGAGGGGGCCCGCTTTTCATTGATTTTGGCCCACAGCTTTTCCGACCTAGTCTTGATCACATTTAGTAGAGAATACGATTTTACACATTTTGACATGCATATGTACTATTATAACCTTAGGGTGACTTTTTGATTTAACTTTTCTCACAAGGTACATAAAACATATCGATGCTTAGCAAAAACGATTTTATTCAAAGTCCAGTATGCAGTTATCCTAACGCTTGACACACAAAAATAGCTCTTGAAAATTTCTACAATATTCCGATTAAACGAACCCTACATATCATTGGCTCAATCCTTTATACGTCATATATGAGTCCAAGCAGCCCTAAACGTCAATATAATTGATGTTTTAGCCAATTTAGTCCCGAAAGTAAGAGAGGATGCGGCCAGTCTTTACCACCGAAAAATAGCTCTTCGAAAGCTCTACAATATTCCGAGTACGCGAACCTTACATATTATTGGCTCAATCGTGTACACGGGCTCATTCGGCAACTAAACGAACCCTACATATCACTGGCTCAATCCTGTATAGGTCAAATATGAGCCGAATGCGCCCTAAAACTCATTATAATTGATGTTTTAGCTATTTTAATTCAATAAGTATGAGAGGATGCACGCAGTCTTTAGTGCAGAAAAATAGCTCGTCAAAAGCTCTACCACATTCGGATTAGCGGAACCGTACATATCATTGCCTCAGTCCTTTATAGATCAAATATGAGTCCAATGAGCCCTTAAAGGCAATATTATTGATGTTTCAGCCATTCTACTCGCCTCAGTGGGAGAGGATGCACCTAGTCCTTAGTACAGAAAAATAGTTGTTGAAAAGATCTACAATATTCCAGTTAAACAAACCCTACATATCATTGGCTCAACCCTTAATAGGTCAAATATGAGCCCAATGACTCCTAAAAGTCAATATACTTGTTGTTTTAGCCATTTCACTGCCATAAGTAAGACAGGATGCCATTAGTCTTCAGTACAGAAAAATAGCTCTTGAAAAGCTCTACAATATTACGATTAAACGAACCCGACATATCATTGGCTCAATTCTTTCTAGCTCAAATACCAGCCCATAGACCCTTTAAAGGCAATATAATTCATGTTTCAGCCATTTACCTCCCATAAGTAAGAGAGGATGCAGGCAGTTTTTAGTACAGAAAAATAGCTCTTGAAAAGCTCTACCACATTCGGATTAGCCGAACCGTACATATCATTGGCTCAATCCTTTATAGGTCAAATATGACCCTAATGAGCCCTTAAAGGCAATAATGTTGATGTTTCAGCCATTCTACTCGCCTCAGTGGGAGAGGATGCACCTAGTCTTTAGTACAGAAAAATAGCTGTTGAAAAGATCTACAATATTCCAGTTAAACCAACCCTACATATCATTGGCTCTACTTGTTAATAATCTACTTGTTGTTTTAGTCATGGGTAAAAGATCATTTATATTGACTTATAATGGTCACTCGGCTGAAATTTGATCTGTAAGGGATTGAGTCAATGATATGTAGGGGTTCCTTTAATCGGAACTTTTCAAGAGCTATTTTTCTGTACTAAAAACTGCCTGCATCCTCTCTTACTTATGGGAGGTAAATGGCTGAAACATGAATTATATTGCCTTTAAAGGGTCTATGGGCTGATATTTGAGCTAGAAAGGATTGAGCCAATGGTATGTCGGGTTCCTTCAATCGGAATATCGTAGAACTTTTCAAGAGCTTTTGTTCTGTACTGAAGACTAACTGGATCCTCTCTTAGTTATGTGAGTAAAACGGCTAAAACATCAATTATATTGACTTTTAGGGCTGATTGGGCTCATATTCGACCTATAAAGGATTGAGCCGATGACATGTGGGGTTCGTTTAATCGGAATATCGTAGAGCTTTTCAATAGCTATTTTTCTGGTACTATAGACTACCTGCATCCGCTCTTACTTATGGGATTCAAATGGCTAAAACATCAATTATATTGACTTTTACGGCTGATTGGGCTCATATTTGACGGATAAAGAATTGAGCCGCTGATTTGGGGGTTCGTTTAATCGGAACATCGTAGAGCTTTTGACTTCGTTGTTTAAAAGTTTTGTATTTCATGTTTTTCTCAGTGAAGTTTTGAGACTGAGTAATAGTTTTTCTCTTCAATTATCACTTCTTTTTTCTAGTCCCTACTATTTTTGTTCGTTTCATCCGTAAAATTCAAGTACAGAACACGTTTTTCGCAGAGTATTTCGTACAAAACCACTTCTTTTCTGTGCCAAGAAGGAAATGATCAAGAGATGCAAATGTTATTTAGCTATTAACATGTAAAAAAACAGTGCGTGGATGAAACGACACAAGAAATATGTAGTAGAATATATGGTCATCGTGGAGATGTGAAAGACTGATAAAAGATTATCAGCGAATCCATATTCAAATACAATGAATATCACGAGCATGTCTTTTGAACGTGCATGTGAATGGCAAACGACGCAGTAGCCATTGAACAAGTTCATCCTTTGTCGGCAATGATTTATCACTCTTATACTTTTCATCATCACAGTGAACAATCAACGCTCGCAGATGAATCATTGTTTTGACAAGATGAAGTATACTTTTCCGATGTACAACTGTGATTATAAGTACCTCACACTATCTGCCTAGAGGTGAACGACTTAATGAAACACATCGTTTACTGTTGAAGTCGGGATATTGAGAAGACTCCTTGCAAATTAAGTCGGCGAACCGATACACTTGTGTTTTCGACTGGTGGAAGTTTTGGAACGGACAAGATCCACGTTCCAAAACTTAAAGAATATAGACCAGTTGCTCGATCGAACAAGGCTTGTAGATGAGATTGATAGGTGTCACTAAAATTCCACTCAGTTGTACATTGAGTGAAATCAATTGATCGAGTTTGGGAATAACAGACCAAAAATCCCTGTCGAATGGAAGGTGTACGGAAAGTTCGCGAACGTTGGAAAAGCGAATATCAGACCGAACCGGAGTGATTTTGAGTAAAGAAGGAATGAAGGATGTGACCTCTTTTGAGTCCGGAATTCATTTTGCTCGAACGATATCGAAACATTTTCTTGATTCTTTTCCAAATATAGTGCGATTCTCGCGGAGGAGAAGTTGTTTGATCTGCACTTAGTTCTCGAACAGTCGAAACTCTCTTTGGCAAAATCTAAGTGTCCTCTAATTCATTTTGAATCGAAACACTTTAAGTTTACGAGGGAAGGCCACCAGCTGTCCCATCACTTTTTCCATCAAACCTAGTGGGTTATAGATATTCGATCACGCTGATTTCGAATATCACAACGATTTTTCCCAAAGATCTCTGGAGGTCCCGCTTTCTGTAAAACCAGTTTTTTAAAAACTCCAAAAAATAACCAAAACCTTTCTTAATGAGGCCTAATTATAGCCTACACATTTTGTGATTAAAATGAGATACCTTCCAGCTCTACACAACCTTTCTTTGCAAAGTTATAGAATTTACACGAAAAGCTCTAAATTAATTTCTTCTTATTTCGGTAGCTTTGAACTGACACCGAATATTTAGGGCTTTTCTTGTGAATTCTCTAACTTTGCAAAGAAGGGTCGTGTAGAGCTGTGAGATGTCTCATTTTAATCAGAAATGTGCAGGCTACAATCAGGCCTTATTAAGAAAGGTTCTGGTTATTTCTTAGAGTTTTTCAAAAACTAGGATCTGCAGAGATCTTTGGGGGAAAACCATTGCGATATTCGGAATCAGCGTGGTCAAATACCTATAACCCACTAGGTTTGATGGA